ATACGGTGGGGGGAGGGGCTGGCGGAGCCCAGGCCAGGACTCTGCGGCCTCAGAGACATCAGCCCTGGGGGGCCCTCCAGGAGCACGACCATCAGACTGAGCCACCACTGGACCCGCCCGGCCCACCCGTCTTCTGCACTTGCAGTTCCAGCATGGACAATGGACCTGGGAGTGGGGTGGGGGTCCCAAAGCGTTGAGAGAGGCCCTCTACACCTGCAGCCCAACCCATAGGAGGGTGATAGCTAGGGGTGGGAGGACCCTTCCCTTCCCAGAGGAGCTTGCTGCCTGGACCTACATTGGAACTGGAGGCAGGGAACTTGGGAGAGGAGGAGGCGGGCGCCTATGAGAATGTAGGTGCTGCTCCATAGCCCTCTCCTCTGCCCCTGCAGGAAGGAGCTGCCTGGACCCAATCGTCGGGGAGGGGGCAGAAGTGTTTTTTATATATGTGTATATATTTTTTTTTTAAGCTCTGAGCTGTCAACGAGACGTTTCCTACCGATCTCGGCTGCCGTCTCTGTTGTCATTTCTTGGAGAGGGAGGGTTTAGGGGATAGGTTTGGGACTTTTTTTAAAACGGTCTTGATGTGTATGGTGAAGTGTGTGTGTATGTATGTATGTGTGTGTGGTGTGTACATAGCATGGGTGCCCTGTGGATGTGTGCAAAGGCTGTGTTAGTGTGTGTGTATGTGTGAGAGAGAGAAGGGGAAGCCCACCTCAGTCTGTGAATCTGGTAAAAGGGTTTGTGAGGGCCAAGGAGATACTGGTCCTGGTGGGAACAGCTGGGGAAGCCCCTTTCTCAATATCCTCTGCTTTGCCTAATCTTGACTCCATTTGGGAGGGTATCCTGAAGTCTCTCTGATGCTTCCTATACCTCCTTCCCTTTGCCAGGCTCACATAGCTGAGCTGCTGCTGATGTCCGGGATCAAGCAGGACAGTAGGGAGGTAGACAGACTGAACTGTAAAGCTCTTACTTGGTGGGAAAGACCTCTCCAGCTCATCTGAGGTGTTGCCTGGCTACCCCTGGGCTCAGAACCTGGGTTTCAAGAAATGTGTTGGAAGCTCTTCACTTACACGTCCCTCCTGCCTCTTCCCCATATCCTCCAGCACCCCACCCCCATTTCCTTTGATTTCTCAGGTCTGCTCCCCTACCCACCCGTAATACAGCTGGGGAAGGTGTTTGCAAAAGCGGCTTCTGCAGCTCGTTCTCTAACCTTCCCCAGCCATCCCCAAGTTTTTGGTGCCCCGCTTTCTTAGAATCATAAGCCAAGCCACCTTGTCTGGATTGGATTTTTGTTTGTTTTTTTATTAAATTTTGGCTTTTTTTTTTTCTAATCATGTCAGTGACCTATTTAATTGTGGCTTGGTGCTTTTCCACCTTCCCGCTCTGAATGAAAGCCAAAGGTTGGGGGAAGAGTGGGAACTCTGCCTAGGAGGAGGGGTGGGAAAGGAGTCCTGCTCCCAATGAAAGGCAAACAGTCAGCTTTGCCTCTGACATGGTGCTGGGGTGGGGAAAGGGACCCTCCATTCCCACTCCCCTTCCTTTGTCATGACCCTGGTATAGGGGTTCATAGGTTCTGTTTCTAACCAAGAGCCCCTGCAAAGAACCCATTTCCCTATTTGGGTGCCCCTGCACTGTTGTGCTTTAGTGGAATGTGTTTTCATTTAAAAACAACTTTGGGGCACTTTTTCCCCCCGTTTTAAAAAGTGAAAAATTCTTACAGTATGAACAGGGCTGTGGGGATGGGAGTGTTGGTACTGTAAGAGGTCACTCTGAGTGCATTTTGGCACTGGGATGGAATGGCTGGGGTGGGAGGACATCTGCTCCCCCTCCCTTTTTTTTCTAATATTTAAGGAGTGATTTTTGTAGGTTTCAACAACCACCACAACCTGAATTTGTATCATGGGAGGTGGGAGGGAGTGGCTTAGAGGTGTCTGCCTAAGCTTAAGGTCAACTGTGGAAGTTTTGTTTTCCCTTTTTTTGTACAATAAAGTGAAAAACAAAGGTTTGACTGCTGTGTGGTCACTGGAATCAATGAAGGGCAGGGTGCAGGGGAGACCCAACAGGTTCAGTGTGGAAAGACACTTGAAGCCAGCTTGTTTGCCCCTTCTTTCCTGAAGACCCCACAAGCAACCTACTCTTCACATTGTTATGCGCTACTGTTCTTGGACTTTCTCAATTGTTCACTTTGGGTAGTCAGACATACTAAAGACTCTGAGTGAGAATTTGGAGAACAGCTACATTATTTTCTCCCAGAGTGCACTGCCTTGAAAAATAGGAGTGATAAACTTTTAGGGTCAGGGGTTCACTCTGGTCATGCAGGGCTTACTGAGAGTTGGGGTCACCTCCCACCTTGAACCCTCAGCCATAACCTAGGGTTAGGGATGACTTCCTGACGCCTCTCAGACATCTGATGGGAAGCAGGCTGGGCCTAGATGATTCTGGTTAAGGAAGACAGCCTTCCGTGCACAAGCCCGGGCTGGGTTCCTGGAACCACCAAAGGCTGAAGATCTAGGCTTCCTTCAAGGGCTCTTCCTCAATCCCACATTCTTCTATTTTTGCTGAACTGCTGAAAAGCCCTTTGCTTCTCATGGTCTCCCACTTCCTCATCTCCCACTCACCACTTCCCCTGGGGGGATTCTCTAAGGTTACCACCTATGTAATGTTCATCATTACATCCAGGGGACACCTGTCTCTTGACATCTTGGTCTACTTTAATGGCATGGGCTCCTCCTCCTCATTCTATCCTAAGTGTTCATGTTGCCCTATGAACTTCCAGTTGTCACCCATAGGTTACCATTCCAAAATGTGGTTATCTGCAGAGATCATTCTTCCCAAGCTATAGACCTGTGTTGACTTTTGAGTATACTCTGGGATATCTTGAAGGCATCTTATACCTCTACGCCCAAAATGACCATCACTCAATGTAGAAACTAGGGTATCAGCCATGACTCCTCCCTCCCTCTTCCACTTCCACATCTATTTGTACACCTAGACCTGTCCATTCCACTTCCTGTCTCTCTCAAATCTGCCTCCCCTTATTCACTGCTGCCATCCAGGTCCTAGTCAAGGCCATTGCTCAAATTCTGCAAAAACCTCCTAAAACTGGTCTTCCTGCCTACACTCTTGCCCCCTACAGTCCATTCTGCACACAGCAAGTTGTCTGAAAAATAAATCTGATGACTTCTGTACTTAAATTTACCATGGCTTCCCATGCCCAACAAGGCCCTTGCTCCTGCTTCCCTTCTTCCACATTCTCTGGCCCCCCTCTTCCAATCATTCACAATGAACCAGCCAAGTGATCTCCCTTGTGTTCCTCAAACATGCCTATCACAAGGCCTTTGCATTTGTTCTCTCTGCCCAAAATGCTGTTCTCCTAACTCTACAAATTGCTGATTTTCTCATCCTTCAGGCTTCAGCTCACATATCACCTAACAGACAGGTCTTCCCTGACCACTTTCTCTATAGAGGCCTCCTCCTAAATCTCCTTGTTTCTGCAACTGTTTACTTGGTTATTGTCTCTCTCTCCAAGCAGACACTTTATCTGTGTTTGTTACAGTAATCTCAGCACCTAAAATTGATTGGCATACATTTGACAGTCAAGAAACATTTACTGAATGAGGGAGTAAGTATGGCCCACAAGGTCCTGGATGATCTGTTGCCTCTGCTGGCCTCTCTGGCGCAACTGCAGCTACACAAGCCATCTGTGCCTCAAACACAACACACTCCTCCAGGGCCTATGCATGCTCTGCCTATACACATAACCTCCTCTCTGCCTAGAATGTTCCCATCACTCTCTGCCTGGTTAATTCAGGTCTCCACTTAAAAGATCACTTTGGGGGCAATGGGCTTCCATGAACCCCTGACAAAAAGATCTCTATGCCATTTGTTTCTTCAGCAGCTCGCAACCTGGATGCCTTCACACTCAGTCTTGTTTCTTCCACATCAGGCTTTGCTGGACTGTAAGTTCTACTAGGACAAAGTCAGTGTGTCTCTCTGGCTTGTTGCGGTAACCCCAGGGCCTCACCCGCAGCCTGGACCAGTGCAGTCCTTAGTGTTTATTGACTGGTGCTAACTGTGGAGACCGGGCACATGCCCAAAGAGGTCACCACCACAGAGCAGCCCAGGCCAAGAGCTGAATGAGTAGTTTAATCCATTTGTAAAGGAGTTTGGTGTGAGGATGGCCCTAGCGGAAAAGTGAAGAAGGATTTAGGTAAATAGGGAGGAGACAGAAAGGCTTCCTGGGCAAGTATAAATTCCTCAGGGTAGGATGTACTGGGCATATTTAGAAACAACAGCATCATTGGGGTGGATAATTCCTGATAATACTGTGGAGGTTTCTCAAGACTCAACCACCTTCTGAGAGTTTCCACCAGCTGATCCCACAGCAACTCCAACTATCCCAAACTGAATTTGTCATTCTCCGGTATCCTCACATCTCTTCATCTTGGTTAAAGGTGTTTTCAGGGCTTTTCTCCTTTATCCCACGCACCTCAATTGATAATAAAAACCTACTGCTTCCGACTCCGAGTCTCCAAGAAGGGATTAGTGGATACCAAAAGGGAGGGGATGGGGAGAGTGGGTGGGGAGGGAGAAGGGGCTTAAGGGTCACTATAATTTTCAATCACAACATAGGTGGGTCACAGGGAAGGCAGTACAGCACGAAGAAGACAAGTAATGACTCTATAGCACCTTACTACACTGATAGACAGTGACTGCAATGGGGGGAGGGGGAGGACTTTGTAATACAGGTGAATGTTGAAATCACAATGTTGTTCAATTGAAACCTTCAGAAGATTGTGTATCAATGATACTTAAATTTAAAAAAACAACCTACTGCTTCTAAGGTATTCCAGAGTGACTTATTTAAAATTCAAGTCTGGTCAAATGATCCCCCTTGAGGACTCCTCATGGCCTATTAGGTTAAAGCCTGCATCCCTCAGCACACCTTTACTTCTGTATAGTCTGACTCGCTCACTTCCTGCTATTTCCCCACCAATTCCTATGTTCCAGCCAGTCCCCAGACTGAACCATACTTCTAAAGCTTACTGTTTGGGGTGTCTAGTGCCTTCTTGTCCTACCTTGACCTAGTACATCTCTCACTACAAGAAGCCTTCCCTGACTGTCTTACATCATCTCATCTCTCCTCTGGGCCACCTCTGCCCCCTATGCATATTTCTCTTGTTTTTATAACACTGCTTGGCAGATATTTTTCTACATGTCTGTCCAGCTCACAAATTGTGAACTTCTTGAGGAAGACAACTGTCTTACTTGATCTTTGCATCCTAGCATGTATGCATGGTAGGAATTTTTACAGAGAACTGTAAAAGTAACAGCTAAGACTTAATGGAGCACTTACCCTGAGCTAAGAGTGTCACATGCACTGACTTGTCAGTCCTTACAACCACCTAATAAGACAGGTAGTATCATTATACCCAGTGACAAAAGAGGAAACAGAGGCAACAGAGAGCTCATTTGCCCAAGTTCATTTGTAAAGCCCAAATTTTTAAATTCAGAACTGCCTCCTGATATTTACCACTTAGGACTATCATCTCAATAAACGTTTCCTGAAGACTGAAGAGCCCGTGATGGCCTCAAAGTATTTAAAACTTTCCTCGTTTAATCTTCTCTTCTAATCGGAGGGGTCTGTCACACTTTGTCCCCACAGAGAGTAACCGAGATGGCAGCTCTAGTCTAGGCATTTACTGCGGCTGAGAAAGGACTTTTCGTCCAGAAGGTGAAGTGGCACTGTGAGAACGCACGGACATGGGCACAGCCAGGGGGGCAGCACTGGGTCTGGGAAGTGTCTGGTCAGTACCAGGCAGGCAGGCTGAGGGGCAGAGGGTCCAGCGTGGGTTCCAGAAGAAGGAAGGCCAGCAGGTGTGGGTGCTAAATTAGGATGAGGGAGGGGAGGGCGCTCCGCTCAGAAGGGCACAGCCCGGCCTCCCCGCTCAGCGGAGGACCCTCCTCTCTCGGGCGCTTCGTGGTTCACAGGCTAGGAGTGGGATAAGACCCGCCCAGAAACGGGGAAACGGAAACTCGGGACGAGCCTTTCGGCTCCATGCGTTTTCCGTCCTGAGGTGCTAACTGGCCCCATTTCAACTCTGGTCTCTTCACAGAAGTAGCTGCACGCTTCAGGGAAATGCCGGGGTGGCGGGGCTGGGGGTGTCAGGGGAAAGAGCCGGGAGCACCGAGGGAAGGGCGGGGGAGCCTGGGCCGGAAGGCGTCCCAGGATCGGCTGGGAGCCGGCGCTCTCTTTCGACGCCACCCGCTGCCCCCGCCCCAGAGCCGGCCGGGACGGCACAACGTCTCCGCCTCCAGCGCACCGCGCACCTCACCTTGAACGCCGCTCCGCCCACTGCCATCCTATTGGGCCGGCTAGGCCAAGGCTGGACAGCGATTGGCCAAGGTAGCTCCTGAAGGCCTCGCCCATCTCCCCGCCCTCGTCCCCGTCCGCCGGTACTTTGGACGGCGGCGTGGCGCCCCTCCTCCCCGCCCGGTCCCCGCCCCCTGGAGCAAATGCTGCCGAGCTGCGGCCGCGGGGCAGATGCACGCGCTCGGGCCCTTCTAGCAGGCGCGAGCAGTCGCTGGGCGCGCGAAAGCGAAAGAAGGAAGAGGAAGGGAGGGCGGGGGCGGGGTGTTGAGGGGGGCGGGAGGAGGAAGAGGAGGAGGTTGGAGCGCGCTCGCGGTTGGCCTCGCGCCCGCGCGGAGGGAGGGGGAGAGGGGCGCGCGCGCGCACGCTCGCGTTCTCGCTCGCTCCATCCATCCATCCTCCGGTCGCGGCACGCGCGCGCGCTCCGGGCTCGCGCCGCACCCCCCGCCCGGGAGAGGCGGGCTGGAGTGGGGGGCGGGGGGAGGGGCGCGCGGACGGCGCGCGGAGTGCGCGCGGGCGGGGTGAGGTGAGGAGGAGGAGGAGGCGGCGACGGGACGAGAAGGGAGGGGAAGGGGCCATGGCCGCCCGGTGAGCCGGCGAAGCGGGGGGGCGGCCCGACCCCCCGGCCCCGGGCCCCGGGCCCCGGGGAAAGGCGAGGACGGACCGACGGACATGGGGCTCCGGAGCAGCCGCCGCCGCCGCCGCCGCCGGAGGACGCGGCCCTGAGAGGCCGCCGGGCCCCGGCGCGGCCCCCCGGGCGGGGTGAGTACGGGACGGAGACGGGGACGGGGGAGGGGCCTGCGGGGGGCGGGACCCGAGGCGGGGCTTGGGCCCCCTCCCCCCAGGTCTGGGTCAGCGCCCCTTCCCCTCCCCCCCCCCCGGCCGACGCGGAAACGCCCGGCTTCCCCCGGCTTCCCGGCCGGGCCGGGGCCCCCTGCTCTCCCCCTGTCTGGGTCCCCCTTGGGCGGGGCAGGGCCGGCCGGGGAGGGGGCGCGGGGCCTTTGTTAGGGAGCCAGGCCCCAGCCCCCGGGACAATAGAGACACCCTCCCGGACTCCTCTCCCCGGCCGGCCAGGGCAGTCAGCGGACTGGGAAGGAGAGCAGCCGGGACGCGTCCCACTCTGCCCCACTCTCTAGGGATCGGTCTGTCCCGGACCGGCGCTGGCCTCCGGCGGCTCGGCTCTCCTCCCCCCAGTCGGTATGATGCAGCACCAGTGCCGCAGGGACGGGGGATGAGCTGAGGCCCGGCTTCCTACCCTCCCCAGTGCCCCTGGCTCATTTGTCAGTCCCCACCCCACTCTACGCCAGCAGATCCTCAAAACTCGTACCCACCGTTCAGAGGGCCCAAGGACTGTGGGCACTATTTCTGAATCCTTTGGTGGGGATTCCTGGACTTTGGGGCTCTTGGAGAGACTTCCGAGCTGGTCCTGAGGGAGGGCGGGCGGTTATCTGAGAGAAGAACAGGCCAAGGGAGTGCCCACTCCTGGCATGCCATCCCACTGGGCTCTACCCTCACTTGCTCATGGTGGCTAGAAGTGCCCCTTTAGCTCTAGGTTCCTGTGAGCTCTGCTCTCTTCCTGTAGTGGCAGGCTTATTTCAACGGAAGACAGCAGTGTGAAGGTTGTTAGGGTCCTAGGGCCATTCCTACTTCTGGTACCAGTACCCCCCCAAGTGGACATCCTGGCTGAAAGCAGAGGTGACTCTGAGGAGAGCCTGGCGGTGGGGGGGGGGGGGGGTTGTATTTAGGAGTGTGTGCAGTTCTTTGCCACACCCTGTGGCTTTGCTTTCAGGCCTTAGAGTTCCTTCTCCTCCTCCTGCTGCATTGCACCATGGGTATGGAAGAGGGGTTTGAGTTTTGGGGAGCTGGGGTGAGCTGCTGCCTCCTATGGATGCAGACCCTGATTGGCAGTAGAGTCCAGGCCTTGAGTTCAGGCCTGGGAAGTACTAGGCCACCTTTGGTTTCAGGCCCTGAGGGACCGTCCAGACTTAGTGATCCTAGGCCTTGGGGAGGGTACATCCTGATGGCAGGATTAAGCTCTGGGCATTGGAGGTACAGAGGGGAGGTGGCAGTCTTTAGAGGTGTCTTGGACTCACACCAACACCCCCACTCCCATGTGTGCAGCCGTGTTGCCGCCCGCTGTGCTATGAGCAGTCAGAGCGCCGTCTCCACAACAGTTTACAAATGAAAATGGAGGAAATGTCTTTGTCTGGCCTGGATAACAGCAAACTAGAGGTGAGGGCTCCCCCACGTGTGCCTCTAGTTCTTTCTCTTGATGTCTCTACGTCACTATATCCAGCATCCACGCCAAAGAGGAATTTGGGTAGTCAGCCTCGTTCCTTAATAGCCAGCTGAAAAGGCCCAAGGATCTGGAAGAAAGAACATAAAGTCAAGATGGGGAAAATGGCAAAGAAAGCATTATTTTGGGCCAGAGCGAATTGGCAGGAGATTTGGTTGGTGAGAATTGCTCTCAGTCCAGGGGGCTGTGACTCTCATGACCATGGATATTCTCCCCTGGGCCCAGGCCATCGCTCAGGAGATATATGCGGACCTGGTCGAGGATTCCTGTTTGGGATTCTGCTTTGAGGTACACCGGGCTGTCAAGTGTGGCTACTTCTTCCTGGACGACACAGACCCTGATAGCATGAAGGATTTTGGTGAGCTTCAGCATTGAAGGAGAGCAATCTAGCCTTGCCCTGGGAGTACTTGGAGATTTCTTCTCTGGAAATTGGACCAGATGTAGAGCCTGGAGCTCCCGTGAGCTTAGGCAGGGGGTTTGGATAGGCCATGGGCCACGGGTGGGAACAAGAGGTGAGGGTCTCCTGCCTGCCCTGATCGCCACGCCTCTCCTGTCCCCAGAGATCGTGGACCAGCCGGGGTTGGACATCTTTGGACAGGTTTTCAACCAGTGGAAGAGCAAGGAGTGTGTCTGCCCCAATTGCAGCCGCAGCATTGCTGCCTCCCGCTTTGCTCCCCATCTGGAAAAGTGCCTGGGAATGGGTCGGAACAGCAGCCGAATCGCCAACCGCCGGTGAGGGCTTCTCCCCCTACTAGAACCAGAGCTCACCTTTTGCAGCCTGCACCATGGTGTAGGCCCCTGGGGCATTTGTAGGGTATAGAGAGTGGGCATGCTTGGCCCCAAATGCTCCCCTATACCTTTAAAGTTGGGGGCAGAGAGAGGTGGCAACCCTGATTCTTTCTTTCCTACCCTTGGCAGGATTGCCAATAGCAACAATATGAACAAGTCTGAGAGTGACCAAGAGGATAACGATGACATCAATGACAACGACTGGTCTTACGGCTCAGAGAAGAAAGGTGTTTGGGGATTTGGGGAGCATTGGGATGAGGTGGGCAAGCAGGAATTGGTTATGAAACAGTCACAAGTTCTTATCTTGAGTTTGGGGGGAGTGTAGCTTTGCACTTTCCTTTAGGTGCCCTTAGATTGAGAATTTAAAGTGATCCTGCCCTTTATCCTTTGTCCTACACAGCCAAGAAGAGAAAATCAGACAAGGTGAGAGCTGGGGGCAAGCATGAGGGAAATTTGGGTGAAGGACAGATACCCTCCCCTTTGGGCAGGGAGTCCTCCGGTATCTTGACTCAAGTCTGAGGTCACTGGGTATCTTTCCGGGTTTTGAGGCAAGGGTGTCTGGTGGGCAGGAGGGAAGCAGAGGCCTTGAGGGAATGGGGGAAGAGGGAATATGGGTAGAGAGGGGAGGAAGAATAGGAATTTGAGGATATTTCTTTGTCAAATCTTTTTTCCTTCCCTGGGTTCTCGGCTCCCCCTTATCGTTACCCTTTCCCCAAAGCTATGGTATCTCCCATTCCAGAACCCCAATTCCCCTCGAAGATCCAAGTCTTTAAAACACAAAAATGGTAAGTGGAGCTGGAACAATGGGTTTGCTCGTAGCTGTGTCTTTGGGGAATCGCTGTGGGGTGGAGGTAGGGAGCTTGGGTGACAGGGCTATTGAGGGAGGGCCTGTTATCGTTCTGTCACCCCCACTTCCTCTCTGGTTATTTTCAGGGTTCTCTGTCTGTACCTCTGCATCAAACACCCTTCCCCTTCTTTTTTCTTCTTCAGGGGAACTTAGCAATTCGGATCCTTTTAAGGTGAGTAGAGACTGGCCTTCTTAGGTTCCCTTAGTTTCCTGGTTGTGGGTGGGTGGGATTTGGACAGATGGGTCAGAATGCTGCCAAACATAGCACTGGATGGGGTACTTAGGTCTTGGATATTTATGTTCTTTCTGGGCCTTATCCATGTGCAGGTGGGATGGAAAGACTCATTGGAAAACTGCTGGGCAGTCCTAAGGTCTTCTTTACAAAGGGATGAGAGGGACTGATTCCTCACCCCCACCTTACCCCATCCCCCTTCTTTGGCTGCCCCTTCTCTAACCTGTACTTCTGGTTCTCTCCCAGTATAACAACTCAGCTGGGATCAGCTATGAGACCCTGGGGCCAGAGGAGCTTCGTAGCCTGCTCACCACGGTGAGGGACCAGGGAAGAGGAGGCCCTGGGGAGTGGGCTGGAGCCACAACAGTGGTCAAAGCCCTGGAGGAAGTTGATGTAGCAGTCAGGGCCATACAGCTGCTGTCTCTCTGGATTTAGGTTTCCTGGCCAATGGTGGCCTGGGACTGTCAGCTCTGGACACCTTGGGGCCATTTCTGCTTGTGCAATCTAGCATTTGTACAGAAGAGAATAACTAGGGTCTAGAGTAGGTTCCCCTCCATCCCTCCTTTCAGCTTATATTCCTTTTCCAGCAATGTGGGGTGATTTCTGAACACACCAAGAAGATGTGCACAAGGTGAGCTCAGAACCTAGAAAGGGGGTCAGGGGCCCTCCTGCACACTCACCCTGGCATGGGTCAGGAGTATCCCTGGACTTGAGCAGTGGCACTCCCAGCCTTTCCCTCCCCTTCCCTCCTTTAACGGTCAGGCCTTAGGTCACAATCTGGAGGCTCTCTTCATCCCTTCCCTGTCTGTGTCAATCCCTTCTGCCTCTGCTGAGGGGAGGGGCTTCACCTGAGTTCCTCAGAGCCTTCCTGCCTCGTCAGGGTCTGGTAATTCTCTTCCCCACCAGGTCCCTGCGGTGCCCCCAGCACACAGATGAGCAGCGGCGAGCTGTGCGGATTTACTTCCTCGGACCCTCAGCGTAAGTGACCTCTGAGAAGGGTGATATATTGTGGAAGTTTGGGACAGTGATTGGTATTCCTAAAGCCCTTCTTTGGCCCCTCACTTTTCCAGCGTCCTCCCAGAGGTCGAGAGTTCCTTGGATAATGACAGCTTTGACATGACTGACAGCCAGGCCCTGATCAGCCGGCTTCAGTGGGACGGCTCCTCTGATCTCTCTCCCTCTGATTCAGGCTCTTCCAAGACGAGTGAGAATCAGGGATGGGGTCTAGGTAGGTGATTCAACTGGGCTCCAGAGTCTCTTTGTCCGAAGCAAAGGAATTGGCACCTTGTGTTCTTTTGCCAGAACCCAATCCTCACCTTTGTGCCTCTTTCTCTTCAGGTACCAACAGCTCTGAGTCACGGAAAACTAAGAAAAAGAAATCCCATCTGAGCCTGGTAGGGACTGCCTCCAGCCTGGGCTCCAACAAGAAGAAGAAGCCAAAGCCACCGGCACCCCCAACGCCCAGCATCTATGATGACATCAACTGACTTGGGTGCAAGGAATAGCCTTTGGCTGAGCAGAGCCCTCTCTCCCAACCCCCACCCAGGTGGCAGAGCCTGGCAAATGGACAGCTGTTGGGGGTTTGGGCTTGGAAAGCTTGGTGGGCGAGGCAGGCAGAGGATCCAGTTGTGCACCCCTGGGGGGTGTCGGTGTCCTCTGCGATGGAGCACGATCCCTCGGCATGCGGGACTCAGACCTGGACATGTTATGCCTTGGACATAAGTTTGGTGGGGAGGCGGTTTTCCTATTTATTCTGTGAGTTACTGGATGTCCAGCTAGGCCAGGGGCCTGACCTGGGCACTGTGCCAGGGCACTGCCTGCCTACCACCCCAGGAACTGGACTATAAGCCCTGCCGAGGAGCATTGTGGCTACCCGGGAGGCTGTGGTTTGGAAGCTGAGCCTGGAGGGGGTCTCCCCCAGCTGCCCTCAGCACTGTGAATGGGTCCGGTGCTTGGAGCTGAGGGGCAGGGCTGGGTATGTCCTGTCTATGTGCAAAATCCTATCAAATACCCCCAATCCCGGGGGTAAGCAGGCACAGTGAGCTGTCTGCTGAGGTGGGTGTCCGGAATTGCCGCTGCCTTCCCTGCCCCTCACAGGGGCAGCCCTTTCCCCTCAGTCCCCATGGGCCTCCTTGGCAGCAGGAGCTGTCCTTTTGTTGTTGGGTGCCAGGAAAGGGCCTCCAGCCTCTACAGCTTCCAGGAATGGGCAAGGGTAGGGTAGGGAGAGGAAGCTGTATATCAAAATGACTCCCCCCTACCTTTCCTCCCTTACCCAGAGCTGGTGAGGAATGGGGCCCCAAGGTGAGAGGGAACGGTGCTGCTTTATTTGAAATGTTTTCTTACCTCATTCCCTGCCCCAGGAAGGGGCCCAGCCTCACCCTCCTGGGGTGGCCCCATGTTCCTCCTGCCTACCCTGCCCCACTGCCCTACCAGGGCAGCCCAAGTTCCCAACTGCTGCTTGTCATCCCCCTTTCACCTTGACCAGCTTCGGTTCCTCTCTAAATGCTCCTGCCTCCAAAGCCTGCCATTTCCCCTTCCTTAGCTGCTTTTAAGTTATTTATTCTCTACTTGTGGTTTGGGGCTCTGAGGAAAATCCTATCTATTACCTCTCCCCCTTTCCTAGGAGTGGAGTGGGAAGAGAGAGAGATCTCTGTGCTGTCAGTGGAGGGGGAGGGGTGTCATGCCTAGGCATTGCCCCACTGTGGGACCGTCATGCCAGTGTGCCCACCTGCCTGGTTTACATCTGGAAGAGATGTAGCATCCCACCTCCATGTGGGCACCATCCCAGGAGCCAAGCTAGAGGACTGCAGCCTCGGTTGGGAGCAGAGCTTACTGACAGATGGAGTTGACCCTGAGCCATGTTCTCTGGTACTTGCTGGATGTGTCCCCTGCCCTCCTCCAAGGAGCCATCCCACATTTGGGTAGCTAGTACCCAGGACTGGTTGGACTGACTGAATCCCTAGAGGACTAAGGAAACAACAGAGATGGGGCTGTAGTAACCCAGTCCAGGGAACCCCAATCTCCCCCTGGGGTGATTCTGATTGTGGCTAGTGTCTGGTTACAAATTGGTTTTTAACCCAAGAATTGTGATTATTTTTTAAAAAAGCCAATTCTGGCAGGAGTTAGAATAAATCCTGAGGCCTGGGCTCCTCTTGTTCTTGACCCTCCACAGTCTTCCCCCTCTTAAGGGGAAGCCAGAGGGAAAGGAGGATCTCAGCCAGCCTCCAGCCTGCTTCCAAATGAAGTCTTGGGAGTGGGTTGAAGGTGAAGGGAGGAAGGCCAGGCCTGCCTCCCTTCTGAGAGGCAGCGCAGCTCAGGCCCTAATAAACCCTTTCCCCTCTGGCCTCTCCCTTTCTCCCTTCTGATTGGAGGAGGGAGAAGTGGGAAGTAGTTTGGGAACTGGTTTGTCCACATCCACTTCCCCATTGTTCCTTGGCCCGCCCTCAGGGCAGAGCCCCCTACCTAGGCTGGGTAAGGGATGGGCTTGGTCCAGCAGGGACCCTGAGGAAACAAAATCCTTTCCTTTCAGGGAGAGTGTGCCCCTCTACCATGTAGTTGAACGGGCTAGGATCTCCCCTCTCCCCTTCCTCTAACAGCAGGCTGTGTGGGCTTCAAGTCCCATCCTTCCCACCCTGGCTAGGTGTTGTCCACCCTGTATCCTATCATGTGTCTGAGTGTGTGTTGGGGGGGGGTTCTGTACTAATTTCCATGGCCGGTGGCTTTTCCTTCCATGCATCACTCCCCCCCGCATGCCCAGGGGCCACCCGCCTGGCATTACCGCATGCTGGGGTCATTGGGGGAGGGGGGTGGGGCTCACGCTGTCCTGTGGTCTTTTGAGATTTTTATTTTTGCATATGTAATCCATCCTGTACAGGTAGCTAACTTTGTAAATGCTGTGTATTTCCCCTGCCCCCATGGCTGCTGGTGTAAATAAAATGCATCTCCTGTTGGTAGCCTGGCCTACCCACCCTCATTATCTTGTTGCTGAGGACAGAGCAAAGACATTCTCTCAATGTCACAGAAAGAGGATCCACAGCCACAAAATGTAACTTTATTCAGCTACAGACACTAACCCTCCATCCAGGAGTTCCAGAGGCAAGAGCCTGGGGCCCTGTGCTCCATACCCAGAGCTAGTCCTTGGAGCTGGGCAGGGTAGGACACTGGCTTAAGGCCAGAGCTCAGCCTTAGGCCTAGGGTTAGCAGCAGCTGTGGCCTGGCCTCTCCCAATGCTGGGGGCTTGGCTTGTGCCCCACCCTCTTCCTCACTGAGCTCTATAAAGGTCTATTAAAAAAAAAAGCAAAGTGCTTTGAAAAAAGAACACTGGAAATTGTCCAGAATGTGAAGAACACCCTATCCTGCTACAGGGGTGGAGGAAGGAGAAGGCAGAGGTGCCAAGGTGCCTATAGGGAAAGCTGACACAAACTTCATTCCTGCCTGTGTGATTTTAATCTCGAGATGGATATTCCCCTAAGGAACTGGAGATGCTCCAGGCTCCCCACAGAAGTATGGCTGGGGCCGTGATGAGCTGCCCTAGCAGGCAGCCCTGGGTGCTGAGAGGCAAACATGCAGGACAATGGGAAGAGCTAGGCCCACAGCTGGGAGGGAATCCTCAGAGCCCAGGCTCCCCAATGAGCTGGGTCACCAACTCGATGCTGAACTTCAGAGCCCTAAAAGTGAAGGAAGATGACATCTTTGTTTCTACCTGAGTTGTGCTTACACAGAGGGGATGTCCCTACCCTCATGGAAGTGAAGGGGAGGCCCCATACCTGCCTCCAATGCCCCATGGAGGACACACCACATCCTTTCCACCCCTCCCTCCCAGGCCCTTGGGCCCAGCTCTGGCAGGAACGGGGGAGGCCATAAAGGAGGAAGACCATGCCTTTCATATTCTCCCAGTGTTCTTATCGTCCATACATCCCAAATACTAGGAAGCTGAAGAAGACAGTGACCCCCACCAGGGAAACAGTGGCAGGTGCTGTGAAGAAATGGCGGTAATTGATACGAAAGTACCAGACCACACCCAACAGCACCACAAACACAGGCACCATGAGGCTGCCCACACTGACGCCAAGGCTGGGTGGCTCAGTGGCCGAGGAGGGGGCCAGGGAAGCTGAGGGGCCTGGAACAGCTGACCCTGGTGGTGAGCGGTGGCAGTGAATCACACAGTTGTCAGTAATGTTCAGGGAACGCAGGGTGCGGGCTGGGTCCTGCAGCAGGCGGCCCTGGTAGATCAGTTTCATCTGGCTCTCTTGTCCAGGGAAGTATTTACTGTAAGGATAGAAGAGATAGAAGGAAAGGCAGAGGGGGAGGAATGAGAAGGCAGACAGACCTGGACTAACAAAGCAGCGTAACCAGAAAATTGAAGGTGGGTTTCTAAGGAAGTACCCTGCCCACCCCTAGTAGGGGCTGGACTGACACTTCCCTGCTGCTCCCATGTCTCCTCAGAGGTGACCAAGGGCTGAGGGCATGGATTATGAGCAGTCTCCCACTTTCCAGCCCACTCACCTCTTCAAGGCACCCACAGTATCCTCAGGCCTGGCCACAGCCAGCTCCTCGGTGTCATTGAGGAATTTGAGCCGCACATTGATGAGGCTGTGGCTGGGAGGGAGGCAGGTGCTATCCTCAGATCGCAGGGGTGCCTCTGGACTGCTGCTCTCTGGGCCCACTTGTCTTTTGGGCAGACCTTGGATGTCAAGCAGATGCTCAAGGCTGGGCTCAACACCAACCCCAGCTCCAAGCTCCCCTGTGGAGTCTCCCCCACCTTCGCCAGCCTCTTCAGCCTTCTCATCATTACCCTCTGATGGATGGGGGAGTTCAGTTGGCTCTGGGGTGCCTTGGCCTGCCACCAGACGGTCCACATGCCCCAGGTGGAGGACGGATGTGTCACCAGCTGACACAATAGTGCCCAGGAGCTGGTTGCTACTGCTGTCTGCTACGTAGGTAGAGAGCCAAGCTAGGACCAAGGCTAGAATCAGCACCACCACACCTGCCACAACAGTCACCTCGTTACCCACACCCTCAATGAGAGTGACATCAGAGAGTTCCATGGCCTGGCTGCTGACTGGGTCCAAGCTGCAGGAACAAAGGGGATAGCATGAGCAGGGCATGTGGCGTGGCAACAAGGTTCCTAGTTTGTTTAGGTTCTAACTGACTCAGCCCTGAAAGAAAATGGAATTCAGTGTCCTATAGAACAAGGAACAAACCCCTCCTAACTCTGGACCCCCAACCTCAAGCTAAGGACTTACCCTCTGCCTCTGTTGTGAAACACTAGCTTTCAGGTCCCCCACCCTTCCTCTCTCACATTCCAAACCCCCAGTGAGCATGGATGTTACAGCTTTGCGGCCCGCTGCTATTGTTGTTGCCGTTTTGGTAGGTGAGGGGAAAACATGTGCTTCTCTAGGATGTCTAACATTCGATCAAGCAACTATGCCCCCCGGAGGAGATCTCCAAGGTGACCTCCGAGAGACCAAAAGGCCTAGAATAATTTATTTTGGGGCCTCTTTGGAGACACAGTGCAGCCACTCTTATCAGATTGTCTTATGTGAACTCTCATTCGTGGTCACATATCTAGGTCCAGATGTCAAGAGCCAAAGAAAATTTATCTTCAAAAGTAGAGCCAGACCACCCCAAAAGGGCAACTCTGTTGGGGCCATCAAAAGGCACTATCCAGCAGGCATTGTATCTGCCTCCTCTGAAACTCTTCTGGCAAGCCCTGGGGATTGAGGTAGAACAGACACCAAAACACCATTTTGCTAGATCACCATAGGCTCACAACTGCAAAACCACTACCTGAGTGGAACTGATTTGGAAGATTCCCAAATAGCTCTCACAATCCACAACACAATCTCTCTTCTGGTATTGTGTAGGCTCTCCCTCAGCAGTTTCTTAGAAAGGCAGGAAGGACCTCAGCTTGCTCCTTGGAGTACCTACTCTTTTCCTTGGAGAATCTGCTGCTTTCACAGCTGTCCCTGGGCAAAGCCAGTCTGATGATTATCATTACCAGACTATTCTCAAAGCACCTATAAAACTTCATTATACTTATCTACCTGTCCATCTTTCTCCACTAGACTCCTGGAAGGCAAGGATCACATGTATTTCCCTATGTGCTACATTGCCCAGCATGTCATAGTAGTTGCTCAAAGGATATTTATGGAACATATCAACATCTGAATAATTTCAACATCCTTATTTAGTACATGGGTCCTGAAGTCAGAATACAAAACAAAAACAACTCATCATAATCCTGGTCTTTACTAGCTCTAACCTAGGATAACTTTGTCAGAGCCTCACCGTTTTCATCAGTAAAATGGGCTTAAAAATAGTACCTACCTCACAAGGTTGTTTTGAAGATGACGAGAAATCATTGAAGCAAAATACTTAGCACAGTGTCTGGCACATTGCAAATTGTTCAATAAATAAATGGTACCAATTATTTATCACTCCCACAACTAACCCCTGATGGTAAGGTTAATGTCATTAACCCTAATTTACAGAAAAAGAAACGGCAGCAAACAGAGGCGAAAACAACTGGCACAGGGAAGTTTCGTGGGCAAGAGCCGGGCGGACCCCAAGCCTTCCGCCTCAGAGGCCTTTGCTCTCTTCTCTACCTGTGAGCAACCCTGATCGCGCGGTGAGGAGGGGTCCCCGCCCCGTCTTTTTTGAGACGAAGGCTCGATGTTTGGGCGGTCCTATTCTCGCGGCGCTGGAGAGAGGTCCGTGGGCCCCCCCGAGCCGAAAGGCTGCCAGGTCCCGACCGCCGTGCCTAAGCCCAGTTCTCCTAGCCCGTTAGCAGTAGAGTCGGGTGAGGGGGGTCACAAACCATCCACACCCCTCAAACTTCGGGGCGGGGCCGAGGGACTGAGGGCGGGGCTTGAGTACCCGGGGAGTTATGGGAAATTAAAGGGGGACTGAACTTGTACTGTGCTTGGATAGGGTAGGAGGTTCTCACCTGAAACAGCCAGACTAAGTGTTTTGACTTCGCCGGAACAGCCCATGGACTCACCTTTCCGTAGGGGCCGGGGGAGGGGCTGGCTATCCCTGATTGTGTCCACGATCCCGTCCCTTCCGGCTTCTCCCGGAAGCTGTTAGAACCAGAGGCGGAAGTCCCGCCTCCGCTTTTTGCCCCGATGACGCAAACTACGTAAGGCTGGTTGACGTAAACGTATTCTTCAAATAAAAGGGACAGGTTTCTCCGCGGATGAAGGGGCGGAGTCATTGTTGGCGGGATCGCGGCCTTCCCGGGGCAGGCCCACGCCCACTAGGCGGGACCCTAGCGAGGCAGGGGCGGGGCCCGAGGGCATGGGGGAGGTGCTTGGAAGTTGCTTGGAAAGTGCTTGGCTTAGAATCTGGATTAATGAGTCGGCTGTCCCCGCTAGGCAAACCTGAGCTGCACTTCCCACTTTCCAGCCCTGTTCTTCCGGCCCTGCTCCCAGCCTCCCGAGCTGTTGGATTTATAACGCTTTGTAACAAATCCCAGCCTCCCGAGCTGTTGGATTTGTAACGCGCACTGAGCTCCGTGTTAGCGGAATCAGTAAAAACTGGTTTCTCTGATCTCGGAGAGTTCAACTCAGGGATAATTTGGGAAATAGACCAGGAGGCAATTCAGTTATCATCGGGTGCTCGGAGAATGCGGAGGTAGTGTGGCACCTCGGTGAATAAGGTGAGAAAACATTTCAAATAAGGCACAGATTCAGCGCAGGCTTAGAGCACAAGAAAAGTAAGAGCCCCCCAAAACGGGAAAAGGTTCAGCTTTCAAGAATTTATTCAGATTTTTGCAATTAAAATGTTTTCTAAAGATGTCCTGGAGTTTTTGTTGTTTTCTGGTGAACTATTGATTGAAGTATAAACAATGCATATTCAAGCGAAGAGCTCGGCGGTTTTTAACTGAACATGCAGGTGGAGACAACACTCAGATCAAGCAATAGAAAATGACCCCATAACCCTTCTATTTGTCCTTCTCTAGCCACTAACTTAGAAAGAAGAGTCACTATTCTGACTTCTGTCACCACAAATTAGTTTTCCTATTCTTGTACTTTCCACAAATGAAATCAAACAGTGCACTCTGGTGTCTTTTTTCTTTTTTAAGTCTTTATTGTGGTAAAGTATACTTATATACTTATATAGTATATATATACTTATAAAATATGCTTTAAAATTACCATTTAAACCGTTTTGAGTGGCTAATTCAATGGCATCGAATACATTCACTATGGAGTGCACCCATCTCCACTATCTACTTCCTGTACCCATTCATTTTCCCCCTCTATTTTACTTTCTGTCTCTGAATTTGCCTATTCTAGGTATCTCATGTAAGTGGTCATACAGTATTTGTCTTTTTGTGTCTGGCTTATTTCATGTAGTATGTTTTCAAGCATTCATGTTGCTGACCATATCAAAATTTCATTACTTTTTAAGGCTGAGTAATCCATTGTGTGTATATACCACATTTTCTTTGTTCATTCACCTGTTAATGGACATTTGTATTGTTTCTACCTTTTGTCTATCACAAATAATGTTGCTATGAACACTGATGTACAACTATCTGTTTGAGTCCCTGCTTCTAATTCTTTTGTCTGGCCTCTTTTGATCAACAGTATGTTTGTGAAATGAGACGTACTGTTTTAATTTCTGCATACACGTACCATTTGGATTTAAAGCTAAGTGTTTTTATTTTGAAGAACACAGGAGGGAGAAATTTATCATAGGACTGTTAAGCAGAATTTTGAAGAAAGGGTAGAGATATACCAAGCAAAATTCCAAACAAAATAGCAGGTTCAAGGGCTCTCCATAAATATTTAAGGGAATGAATAAACCAATAAATTGAACCACTGTTAATGCTTTTGAGAGTTTATTATGTGCCAGGTACTGTGCTAAGCACCTCATGGACCCCTATCAAGTAGTTCTTATTGTACCCATTTTACAGTGTTGAAAACTGAAGCTCACAGAGAATAAATAATTGTCCAAATTATGCAGTTAGTGGTATAGCTAGTCATACAAGTCTCCCTCTCTATTTCCCTCCCTCTTTCTCGCTCTCCATATATGTGTGTGTGTGTGTGTGTGTATATATAATATATATATATATTTGATTTTACTGTCAATATTTCGGCCCCTATTTTCACTTCACTATATACCATGAAGCTTTTCCCATCACTGGTTATTTTTATAACATGGTAATATAATTTTAAAGAGCTCCTCAAAAGTATTACCTTCCATGTTGCACCATAATTTTAAATTAATCGTCTCATTTGGATGAACGTTTAGATTTTTTTTAGAACTGTATTTTTATACAGTATTTTGACAGATGACAGTTTTATATAGTCATCTTTGTATGTCTTTGATGGCAGATTTTTATACACATCCTTGATTTTTTTCCCTAGGAAAAATGCCTGAAAATGGACAAACCTGGGTCAAGGGTTATGCACACTTCTAAGGTTTTTGATACATTCATTGTCCTATAGGTTGTAAATATTTCCCTTCCCACCAGCAGTGTGAGTAGCACCCCCTAGTGTTCCCTTCCCACAAAACAGGGCAGAAGCTAGACCCAGACCGGAAGGTTAGAAAGATGTGACTCCTGAAGATGTTTACAAGCCAAGAGGAAAGAGGAGAGAGGAGAAGTGAAGACAAAGGTAATCTGAGAAGGGAATAACTGATCAGTGACCTCTGGAGCTCTGGAGGGCTGAGCCAGTGGCCAAGACTGTGCTGGGGAGGAGGCTGGGAATCTAGCTTTGCCACTGTCCCAGGTACCCGATCCATCCATTTGGGGTTAGGTACTTACATTGTTCCCCAAGCTGCATGGACAGTTATCTGCCATTAGATTGTCACACTACATTGTCATTTTTCATTTTTATAGCTTACCAGATCTATTGAAGACGACTATGTTTTTTCTTTTATTATTCCAGTACCTTCAACATTTAGCCCAATGTCTACATGCAGTGAATACTTGATAAAAATTTATTAAATGAATGATGAATGGATTCAGAGACACTATGGTGAAGAGATGGGAAATTTGAGAGATCTCTCATCTGCTGGCCAGAGGTGAAGTCTTAAAATGGCCCAGGCAGTGAGGAAAATGGATGGAAGGGGAGAAGGAAGGATTGGCTAGGGGTGACAGACTGGAATTATCAGCAGCTGGGATGAAGGGTTGGAAAAGTGGAGGTTGAGTTTGACAACGGATCGGATGCATTTTGTGAGTGTGTATGGCAAAGGACAAGTTACGGTTGAGGGTGTTTTGAAAGAAGAGCTTTCAAGGTGGGAAGGAAAAGAAAGGGAAGAAAAGCAGCCTGCAGTTGGGACAACAGCACTGCTGAAAATCTGGTCTCTTTTAAAAATAATAGTAATTAAATATTAACAGTATTTTAATGCATCTTAATTCCTTGGTCATTTTTTATGATATAGTTTATGAGATGTTTGTTTTTCCTAAATTTTTTAACTTAGGTATTCTTATACCTTTATGAGCAATGAAGATGGCTATAGAATAGTGAATGTAAATCCTGAGATGCTGCCTTAATTAAATACATTTATAACTCGTTTTATTAAAAAATAAAAAGTGTATCTTCCCTAGCCACTGGATCTTATTCGTTTCACATTTACTAATCTGATAGGCAAAAGGTTGTTTGTTCTTCTAATTTGCAACATTGGATTACTAGTGAGTTTGCACATTTTTCATATTTCATCAACCACTTTGTTGATGGCCAAATTAACTTTGGGCCTTTTGCCTTTTCTTCTCTTAAAATTTTTTTTTTTAATTTCACAAGAACCCATGGGTATCCCTTTGTAAAAAAATTAAATACAAAAAAAACTTTAAAAAAGCATAGTAAGATTTTTTAAAATTCAAATATGGACCATAAGAGTCCACTGGCCCAGTCTCTCCTCCCTAGAGAGGAATTTTGGGTACCTGCCTTCTGGGCCTTTTTCTATTCATTTACAGTCATGGAGTTTGGTTTTTTTGTTATACATATTGTATTTCAATGTGTTTTTTTCCCCTTAACGACAATCTTGGAAATCTTTCCACAGCAGTACATGTGCTGGTCACTTGGAACCCCTCCCCAGTTCTTTGACACTACAGGGACAACCCTTTGTAAAGACTAACTTGTATTCCCTAGTATGGATTTGTTTATCACATCCCACACGTTGAGTTGTTGCAAGCCATGCTGGGATGAATATTCCCATGTGTACCAGCCTTTTGTGTAACTGGGGAGCAATATTCAAGGTACTGTTAAACTGCCCACCAAAAGTCAATTTCCTTTCCCACCAAGAGAGATTTGAAACACTGTGGGAGGATTGAAAGAAGATTTCCCTCTCTTCTCTTGGGCCTTTTAACTCTAGGAAATTAAGGCAAAAAGTTTGTCCAGAAAGGAGAGGTTGTTGCTCTTCATAACTAGGTAGAAGATGGTCTTCATGTTGGTGAAAGAGAATCTTCACAGATAACACTTTCCACAGAGGAGGGGAAGCTGAGCAAGAGCTGCAAAAGGCAGGCCCCAGGACTTCTGACCCCTCTCCCATGACTGTACATGGGGAGAGCCCAGGCCCCTCAGCAAAAGGACAGAAAGCAGGCTGCTGGGAGCCCCTCCTCGGTCCCTCCTGCAGTGGGTACTAGGCTTAGGCTTAGGATCCGGCGGGGCCTAGTGTTCTTAGATCCTTTTTCTTATCAAGTTGCTCAGCATATAGAACTTGGGAACCACTGAGGAGTACAAAGAGGGAAATAAACATGTAGTGATAGAACTCTCAGCCGCATTTCCACCTAACAACATCCATGCTTTGGTTCTATGCACAAATCATATATTTGTGTTAATAAAAACATGCTTGGCTTGAAAAGCTTCCTCTTAAAGGTAAATGGTGGTACTTTTGACTCTGGGAGCAGAGGAGAAGGTAAGGGGGGTGGACAGCGTCACAGGCCCTCAGAGACTACAAGTGTACTACTGACCATTGTTTAAGACACCATGAGTCACTAGAGGTGGGGGTAGGGGACACCACTGTAAATGGGTTCCAGGCATCATGAACTTATTCCTCCCTCAACAACCATTTATGAAATGCCTCTTCAAGAAATATAGTCCCAGTCTCAGCCTAGTTGAGGCAGACACAGGCTCTTAATTAAATAAGTACAAGGAAGGCTCTGCAGAGAGAGTGCTGTTGGGTTGAGTCTTGAGGATCAAATCAGCCTCAACCAGGACAGACAATGGGGAAGGGTATGTATACCAAGCAGAAGGAACAGCACATGCAGACACCTAGAATCAAAGGACAGCAGGTCATTTCCAGAAACTGGTTCTAGTTTGCTAAGGCTGGATTACATGAACCTCAGAAGGGAGAAGGCACATCAGGAGGCCAAAAGAGCTTGGCAGAGGCAGCGGCTAGAATCTTTGTCTGCCTTGTTGAATTTTTATTTTGATCTGAAGATTGTGAGGAGCCACTGAAGGGCATGATCAGAGCTATGATTCCCAAAGATTGTTCTACATCCTTGCAAGACATGGATTTCTAAGGCCAGTCAGTGAGGTCCTCCCTTCAAGTGACAAAGGCAGGTTGGGAAGCGGCAATGCTGAGTCTGTCACTCTTTAGCAGACCAAACAGGTACATGGGTGGCAAGGGAGGGGGCAACAAGGATCACTCCCTCCTGGCTTGGGGACTGGGCAGATGGAGGGGCCATCCACATAAGCAAAGGAGGAGAAGGTGGGCAAAGGCTAAGTCTGCAGAACTTCCCAGGGGAGAGAGAAGCTGAAGTTGCAGTTGGGCTGGAGACCAGCAGGTGGCTCAAGAAGCCAGTGGAGGGATGAGCTGGCTCAGGAGGGCATGCGGAATGTGAACAAGAGGGCCAGGGTGGGTGGGAGGGATGACAGATGGAGGGCACAGAACAAGCTCTGGAGCAGCCTGACATGAAGTTCACTGGATGCGCCCCTCTGCGTGCTGCAGCAGATAGTCCCTAAGGAGCAGGGGCAGTGGGAGGTGGGCAGCAGCCTATTGGCAGTGGCTACCCAGCTGAGCATGCACAGCCAGCCGGGCCAGGTGCTGTAGCTTCCTGGGCTAGTTCACCCTGCACAGGGCCAAGATGTAAAAGGCTTCATGCTCCTAGTCCAGGAATGGAACAGGGTCAGATGGCCCAACACCCTTGACTCTGTCCTTCCATCTGGTGGCAACTTAGTGGTGGAGGCTCTGGGATTCTACAACATGCACCCACCTGGATATTTGGTACATTGCTAGAGGACTCAGATTCAGAGCTAGAGAAACCCTGCAGGGGCCATGGAAGCTGGGACCACACTGTCAGGCAGGGTCTCAGCCATGTCTGTACCCCACCCCACTCCAAGATGCTGGCACAGTGCCCACTGAGTCAGAAATACCTGAGAAATGTGTTGATGCAGATGAGAGAGAGGCTGGAGAGGAGTGTGGAATTAAAGGTTGTTCTGAGCTGCTGGAGGGCAGGGAGCCCCTGGAACCCAGGGGTTTCATTCTGCCCACCCTCTGGCCCAGGGGCCCTCATGTTCCTCCCTCCAGGAAGCCCATCCTGGAGGGATAGACCTGGGACTCATCCTTCCTATCCTCTCCCAGGGCCCAGGAAGGAGCAGTGCCCCTGGGATGGACATACTTGCCACAGCTCTGGGAGCACTGCCTCAACCCAGGTATCACAGGATGAGACACAAGGGTAGGCATTAAGCAGGACTTCCAGGGCCCAAGGGAAGTTGGCACAGTGTTTCAGCATCTAAGAATCGAAAGAGGATTGAAAGGGCACCATGCCTCTCCCAATGAAGGACAGACCAAAGTCCAGCCTAAGCCAAAGTCCCACACACACCCAAATTTGGGAGGCTAAGGTCTGAGTCTCTCTTCATCCTTTCCTATACCTCAGTTTACCCCACTTACAAGTGTGCTCCAACCTCTTGGCCCCAGCCAATTATTTTGAGAGCTCTTTTCTGCTCTGGACATCCTCCCCTATAGCCCTCACTGGTCCTTCCCAAGATAGGGACAGACCTCTGGGGTGCTCTCATTCTCTTGGCCCTTCCCCCACAGCAGGGCAATTCCAGCCTCAAGGTCTCCCACCCAGCTGGAGCCTCCTTTCCCAGGCCCTCTCCCCACACCTCAGGGCAGACAGGCTGGGCCCTGTAGTCCAACAGCACTGTGAAGAGGACCCCAGGCTCCCCGTTGGGGGGATCCTGGACTGCCTGCAGGACACAGTCCATGGGAGTGTGGCTCACCCCGCTGGGGAGTCCAGCGCAGGCCCTGTGGAGCGCAGCAGCTCCGCCAGGCCCCCACAGCCGTTGGCACAGGCATTGTACAGCAGCGTGTGGCACTTGCACCCAGCTTCCCAGGCATCAGCTCCTGCCTCTGGGAGCTGGCGCGCCACTGCCTGGTGCTGCCAGCTGCCACCTGGACCCTCTGCCCTTGCGCACGCTGCGTTCAGGGCCGTCCCGCCCTGGCTGGTCCGCAGGCCCATGTCGCCCAGTGCTCCAGGTAGAGAGCCATGTGGTCCTCCAGGCCTCGCGTTGCTGCCACTTGCAGGGGCATCACCTCGCTGTCCTGCTCTGCCCAATCCATTCACAGTTGCTCCTGCCTCCAGCAGCAGCTTGGAGCATCTAGGGGCAAGGCCCAAGGCCCAGAGACAAATCCTGAGGGACCAAGGCCTGGTCTGAGAACCTGTCAGCCTGCTGTCATCCCTTACCCTCTTTATTCCTACACCCCCCACCACCCCTTGAGAGGAGCCTGGTGTCCACTATCAGACTCACAGACGCCCCAGGACAGACAGCGGAGGTGGAAGGCCCATCAAAGGCACCAGGAGTATTTTCAGTTTTCAGGAAGGTCACAGTGTGGTCAAAGGCTCACAGCAAGTTAGTGACTGTGCCAGAATTAGTACTCAGTAATACTCAAACAGTCCCTCCCAGATTCTACCTTATTACTCCCCAGTGGGACTGGGACCCAGAGCTCCGGTCTCCTAACATTCTGATAGCACTAAAAGTTTTGAAAACCCACCACTGTGTGCACTATGAGCCAAAAAAAGAAAAAGAAATGAAAGTTCTAATACCTATTTCCTGCCTCCAAACATGAGGATCACTCTTCCAGAAGAGCCACACCCACTCAAGCAAGGAGGTCACTGGGGGGCCTGCCTGCACCACTCTCCCTGAGGGAAAACAGAACCAAACAACAAACACCAGGTTTTAAGGAGCACATTTCACAGTCTTCTAGTTCCTGGAAAAATTTCTGTCCAGAACACTGTTGAAATAAATAGGAGTCATTAACCACCGTGGGATAAACCAATATACAGCACACTAAATGAATGATAACACTAAACTAATAGTAATTTATAATTAAAAAGCCACAGTGGTAGCCATTGGAAACTTAGGAGCAGATTTATCAGCCCTGATGAACCCCTGATGACTAAGTGTTCTTCCCCAAAATGGCCAGAATTCCAGCTCACCCTTCAGAGCACATGTCCAGTAGATGCTTTGCTCAGAGGCCAAGGGTTGAGTAGTAGCCAGTTATCCCTAAACTACTGAATTTATTTCCTTGGTAAATTCTAATCATGGGTTAATTTGTATCTCTAAATACTAAATTTAAATCACACTGAAAAACTCACTCAATAGGGCTCTAGTAAGTAGAACTATTCTCACATATGTGTTACATGAAAAAAAATCAAGATCATAGAATAAAATATGGAGTACAATTTCATTCCATGAAAGAAAAAATAATTGTATGTGTGGATATATGTTCAGAGAAAAAATTGCATTAGAACATAACTGTGTTCCTATGTAATTAGTATGTTAATATAATTTTAATTCCAGAAAGACCCACAAACCATGACGTATGCCTCATCTCTTGTTTAAGAGGGAGTTAGAATGGGCAGCAGGAAGGGATGGTCCAGCCTAACGTCTGGAGAGAGGGGATGGGGCCGAGACTCTCCCCCTCCCAACTCTGCTCCCTCTTTTCTCTCCCTCTACTTGTGCCCCAACTTGGTACTCCCTACCCTGTCCAGCTGACCAGGCCAGCTGGTGGCTCACAGTCTCCACAGTCATGTTGCCAGCCTCTTCACCCTGGCACAGGGCTTGGACCTGCTGCAGGTCGCCAAAGAACAGGGCACTGTGGACAGCAGAGTCTCAGCAGGAACGGCGAGGCCTAGTGAGTTGGGCCCAGGAACCTGGGGGGCACCTGTAGGTTTGGCACTGCTGGACCGCTGCCCGCTGCCAGTCCTCCCACTCCAGCCACTCCCGCTGCAGGCGGAGAGCGTGCGGTGTGGAGGAGGTGAAAGGGAAGGTCTTCTCTGCCATGGGTAGGGGCCAGGGGTCTGGGCAGTGGCAGCTGGGCAGAGCCAGGTGTCCTCAGCCTAGCTACCACTGTTGCTCTGGGAGCCACCCTGCCCCCTCACTGATGACCCAGAGAGGAGCAGCTGGGGCTATAAATAGGCCCTTCCCTGCTCTGATAAACATGAGTTGCCCAGAGTCATGACCCTGGTACAGAGAAGGTGCTGGGCCAACCCCTACCCCTGCTGATACCCTCCAATTGAGCAGTCAGCCCTCAGCTGAGGCCACCCCTAACCCCAGGGTCTGCATCCTCTCATTTCTCTGGATTGAGCGTCTTGGATTGGCAAGGTGCAAGATGCATGAAACAGTCAATAGGGAGGTGGACAAGAGAGGGAGGAAGAGCCAGAGTCCCCAGACTCTCCGATGTGGGCTGGAGGGCACACCCCAGCCCAAGGACGAAGGGCAGGTAGGGAGAGAGTTTGAACAGCTCTTCCCAGGATCTGTAATAATAGCAGTAACTCTGCACATATATGCACGGGGCTTTACAATATTTAAATCACCTTTATATCCATCCTCACTCCAGTGACCGTACTTCCTGACTTGCTAGGTAAACAGTAAGCTTGGTTCTGACAATAAATTACATGATCAGGCTAAATGTCACAGCTGAACATCTCTGAGATGGGTGGTCTTATGTCCATTTTACCAATGAGGAACTTGAGGCTTAGTAAAGTAAAACAACTTGCTCAAGGTCACAGTTTGTAAGGAGCAGAGCCAAGACTAGGACACCAGGAGGCCTGACTCCACAGACGGTACACTTTGGCTCCAGCTGCTGTGGTCATGTGAGGGTGAAGACAGTTGTGAGGTTCTCCCCACTCCCCAAGCAGGGCTGCATGGTCTCAAGAAACCGCCTTCACTGAGTCTTGTTTTTTTCCCCCCAGCACCTGAAAGGGCTCACATGCCTGCCTGAGGAGGGCCAAGGGGCTGACTTCACAACTCTGGGGACTCTGACCAGACTTTCAAACCACAGACCCATTGGCCCTCGGGAGAGCGTGGCTCTGCTTCCAGGAGGAGCCTCTAGGGGGAAGAATGAGGCTGGGAAACAGCACGAAGTCGGGAGGCTGCCCAGCCGCGGAAGGGAAAGGAGGGAGGAAGGCCAGCCCTGGCCTCAGGTCTCCTAACCTGGAGCTCACAGGGTGTCAGCAGGCTGACCCCATGGCCATTCAGGGAAGGGCTGGTCTGCCATCGTGCTGCACCCCCACCCCACCCCCGCTACCGGCTCCTCTGCCCACTGTCCTTCTCCTCCCTGCCAGGCAGCAGCGCCTGCTCAGTTATCCCTAACTTCATCTCCCTGGTCTCCTCACGAAGTTAAGTTCTAGCTCCCATTCACCACCTCAATGCCTCTAACCTGGACAGCCCAGTGTCCTACCTCATGCTCTTCCATCTGGCCACGTTCCCTCTGTTTCACAGCCCAGATGGAATGATCTAAAACAGCTAATTTTCAAGCATGAAACTTTGGCTGACTTTGACACCTGTCCTTTCCAACTAAGCCCGATTCCTTGGTTTGCTCTAACCACATAGCATTCCCATGTGGCTCCTCACCCTTCCCCTCTGCCTGGAATTCCCTCTGCCTCATTACTCAAAGTCTACCTCAAAGGTCACCTGCTCTGGGAGACATTCCTATGGCAACCCCAGGTCCCCCACCCCTACAGTTCCAGCCGCTCCCCAACCCATGCTCCTGAACGATTTCATATGCCTTTTGTAAAGCCCCTGTTTCAGTGTACTGTGAACAGTCTGCCATGCCAGATGTGGGCTCCAGAGCAGGACCTGAATTTATTTGGTTGGATATCTGGTATCCAGCAGGACCTGTCACATGGTACGTCTGGACATTGTGTTTGGAAGCACTTGCTCGTAGCAGGCTGGCTTTTTATGTGTAGCGCATTGACAGAGGGCCCCTGTCCTCTGCCACAGCAAACATTTATCAGCCTGCCCAAGTGGGTGGAAGCCTGACTGCTTCCAGCACTGCCCTTACTCTGCCGTTCACCCACTCTGGCCCCAGCTTGGTGGTGGCATCCAGGGTGGGGGATCCCAGAGGAGGAATGAGATCATGTGCAGTGAGGGTTTGGAGATCCTCAGAGAAAGGCACTTTTATAAAAAGCAGCTGTGATTAACTCTGTTGGAACCCATTCGATATTTTAATTGCCCCGCCAACGGCCAGGCTGAGCACCCACAGCTGGGTTCCCAGAGTTGGGAGCTGGCAAGGCAGGTTGGGCCAAAAGCAGGGTGGGTGTCTCCTTCCTCCTGAGACACACAATAGTCATGGCCTTTGGGGCCCAGGGATGTGCACCCGAGTCTCTGCAGCCTTCGTCACATATGCCCGAAGATGCCCTGACTAAAGCTCAGGCCCCAGAGATACCATGTTATCGCCTGTCCTTAGCCTTAATTTCCTGAGGGCCAAAAAAGGAGGCCTTTACCTCAACCCACACAGGAGCCCACAGGGAACCCAATTCGACAGGCAGGAACAGTGCCAGGCGATTGGACACCTCTACTGCCTTCTAAAACTCAGAGCCTGTGGGGAGATGAAGCACCACAGGAAACCAGGGCATCTGTCAGGACTGTGAGCAGTGGACACTAGGGCCCCAGGAGGCTGGGTGGGGAAGGCCTCTGCAGGCCAGGGGCACGCGGTGGCTTAGGTGCAGAAGACCACACAGCATAGGTAGGATCTGGCCCAACTCTAAGCTATGCAGGCAGAACTGAGGAGTTATCAGCAGTGGGTTGAGGAGAAAGAAGTGCAGGTCTGCTCAGGTAGTGTGAAGGGGCAAGGGTGCTAGTGAATTTGTCTCTTCTTGCTCGTGGGCTTGGAACACAAGTCTTCTAGAACAGGGCCCCACTGCGACCTGCGACCAGCTACACATGGAGTTCTTAAAGCACTTGCTCACATCAGCCTGTCTGGGAAAAGGGAGATTAGTATCTTCCCCCAGAGCAGCACACTGGAGGCCCCAGACTCACGGGTGTTTGGTGAAGGCCAAGGCTGAGGCAGGGCAGGCAGGTGGTCAAACTGGGATCTTTAACCCACACCCCATAACCATAAATTGGGAGGTTCTTCCTTTCTTCCCTTTATTACAGAAAACAAGGTTGACAACTTGGTATGATTAGGCTTTTTACCCCCTGACCATGCCCCTTTCCCAACTCTGGTCTGAAAGGTAGTATAGAAAGCTACAGTGACAAAGAGTTACTTGGCAACAAAATAAATAAACTAGTATTGAATTAGAGCCCAAAGTATAAAATAAATACCCAGGAGTCCATACTGATATAAATGGATGACTGAATAAAAAATGAAGGAGAGTAGACCAATCTCCCATGCAGAAGAATTCTAAATAATCTATGTAGATACTCTGTCCTTAAGGAATCAGAACATAGCTCCTCATTCCTTAAGTGTGGGCTGCACATAGTGACTTCCTTCCAAGGAGGGCAGTCCGGAAAGGGAGAAGAAACAGTATGTAACTTTAGTCAAGAAACCTGACAAATCCTACTTCAACCAGGTGATCAAGGTCAACATCAGCCCTTTTTATGATGTGATGAGAATAGGACCTTGCGTCTGTGATCTTCCTCCCCAAAACATATAGCCCCAGTTTGCTAATGAAAAGACATCAATTTCCAATAGAAGAGCATCTGACAGTATGCCCAACCCAAAGTTCTCAAAGCTTTCAAGGTCATAAAAAGCAAGGGTCTCAGAAACTGTCACAGCCTCAAGAGGAGCCTAAAGAGACACGATGACAAATGTAATGCAGGGTCCCAGAACAGAAAAACTGAGTACATCTGAATAAAGTATGGAGCTCAGTTAATAATCATGGATCAATACTGGTTCTTCAGTTGTGACAAATTTACCATACTAATGTGAGGTGGGAATAACAGGGGAAACTGGATGTGGGGTACATGGGAACTCCCTGTAATGCCTTCATAATAATTCTATAAATCTAAAACTGTCCAAAATAAAAAGCTTATTTAAATAAAGAGAGAGAAAGAGAAAGAAAATGAGTAGTGTGGCTCTTCCCTGGCCCAAAGTGCCACTGGCAGGGCAGACAGGACAAGCAGAAGCAGGGGTGGAAAAGAGAGAGACGCAGGTGAAGCAGGCAGCTGCTTTATTTCAGAACATGGCACAACGGCCACTCCCCTGCCTCCACACCTGGGAACCTTGGGTACAGGCAAGCTGGACAGCTACAAGCCTCAAGAGACAAAGCCCAGGGAAGTCTGAGTGTGTTCCTTCCCTGCCCAAGGGGACAGGTCACTGCTGCTGTGGCGTGGCTCCTCGGCTGTCCGGGAATTAGGGAGTTAAGAGACTGGGCCAGCTGTCTAACTTTAAAGTCAAGCTGAGGTGGGAGAGTGATGCACCTTCCCTGCTGGCAGAAGAAGGAGCAATGCACCCAAGACCCTGGAGGACAGAGGGCCAGGGAGCCAGCTTGGGGCCAAGTCCTGGTAGGCCAGAGGGAGAGCCAAAGGGGTGGCAGTGCAGAGTCTGAGGGGTGAGGCATTCCTGGGAAAGCATTCAGGCGGAGGTAGCCACAGAAGTCCCGAGCTTCGTCTATTCTCCAGTTTTGCTTGTCTTCCTCTCAACCTTGGACATTATCAGACACAACCAGAGCTTTGCCCGGGTGCTGAGAGGTGCTCGGCTCAGGGTGGGTGCCCTGCCCTGGAGCAGTCCCAACCGCTGGTCCCACAGAAGAAGTCCTCAGGGAGCTCACTCAGGAGTCCATCCAGGTCATCTGCAGGGGAATGGAGAGGCAAGTAGATTTAGTGACACATTAGGGTTCCACGTAACTCAGGACCAAAGCTCTTGCCCTTCAGGAGGGCCTGGACTTGGCTGCACAGTCGGGGAGGAGGCTCCCTCTGGGCAGTGGTGCCTGTGCTAATGGGCCTGAGGCTAGCCTGCCTTCCATCTTCCCTGTTAGCCACATACCCATCACAGCAAAGCGCTTAAGACCATTCTGTTAAGAGGCTCCCCTGGGGCTTCAATGTTTCGTCTCTTCCCATCCAGAGGCATGCACAGTGCTTGAGAAGAAAGGCTTCAGATGTCCCCTAATGCAGCCCTCTCATGGGGTAGGGGAGAAATAAAGCTGGGAAAAGGCATTAGAGGTGTACAGAACCACGCTGTTCATTAATCTGGTTTCTCCCCTGAAGAGTGGGAGACAACATCATCCCTGTCCCCAAGGTGCCTCTGTGGGCACAGGAAATAAAAGTCACTATTCCTGACTACAGTTCTTGCATGGGGCCTGTAGCTGAGAACTAGAAACAGGGCTGACCTTCGTAATCCCTATGCTACTATTACTGTTAACAACAGCAGCTAACACTTGCTAAGTGCTTGCTCTGTGCCAGGCACAGGGCCACACGTGTTACACTCATCACTTCATTCAGACTCACAGTACCCCTTCGTAGGGAATCCATGGTACTTCCGGTTATAATCCCCACTTCACCTGAGAGAACAGGGTTTAAAGAGGTCAGACAACTTGCCCTTGGTGAGCATACTCAAAATTCCATCTGACACCACAGCAACAGCTTCCAATCAGGAAATTCCCGCTTAACGGATGGAATCAGGCAGCCCTAAGACTCAGTCAGCCTGGAAACTAACCTGCAGACACTAGGACCCGGGCCGGCGCACAGGACTCGATAAACATTGCTCCTGGAAGGATAGGAGTCAGCTTGGGGCCATTCCAAATTTAATTAGGGGGGCCAGCACTGTACTCAGGAAAGCAGGGCTAGAATTTGGTTATAACAAAAAAAGTTGCCCCTCACTAGCCACAGTATTTGGATATACACTATAGTATTTGGAGAAACACTATGTTAGATGAAGGGGAATGAGCAGTCAGTGTGGGCCTAGGACACCTAAAGTCAAAGTAAGAATGAGTCTTTGTGCAAGTAGGGACTCTGTGGCATCTTACTACACTGATGGACAGTGACTGCAATGGGGTATGTGGGGGGGACTTGATAATATGGGTGAATGTAGTAACCACATTGTTTTTCATGTGAAACCTTCATAAGAGTATATACAAATAATACTTAATTAAATATATATATATATATATATATATATAAAGAATGAATCTTTGTATCTCCGAGCCCTGTCCAGCCACCACTAGCAGCTGCCTGCTTGGCAGGTCTGTCCCTACAGTAGAGATGTGAATGTGACACCAGCCACAATCTCCAGGCAACTCTCTTCACTCTTATTCCATGACCACTAGCAACCTCCTGGTGATGGTTTGGCTTGTCATCAAGCTTACTTATAAGGAGAGAATGCAAGATCCAGAGAAGATCCCAGCATAAGGAGTAAATACTTTTTCATAAGATACAAATAAATGGACTCTGGTTTATCCATCATCTCCTGTGAATTTGGTTAATGTGGGACACCTATCCATAATCCTATGAACTTTGGGGCCAGGCAGGATAGAATTTATGGAATCCAAAGCCAAGGACCAGACCTGGGCTATGCGAGCTTCACCTGGGTGATGCTACCTCCTTAGGAAGAAGTTGGCCCTCCCTGAGAGGTCTGTATTCGGGCCTCGCAGACCTGTATCCTCATCCCACCCCAACCCATGGATGTCTGATTTGTCAGTGCTGTCTGGAGGGCTTCTGAACTTAGGTTGGGGAAATCTGCCTCTGTGGTCTAGCCATGAGCCCACAAAAGACTCAGAGCATGGCACAAGGATGGTGCCAGTCCATCTCCTCCTTGTAGCTAACAGCACATGGCTCTGAATTGTGCAGGTCTGAGGGTCACACTCTATTGGCTTCATGTGGCCCCTCTTACACTGTTAATTAGTGTGTGGCTTACAGTCTTGTCAGAGAAGACACCACATCTGATTTCTGTAAAGTTCCATAAGATCCAAAGACTCACAGAGGGAGGAACAAGAAGCAGCCAGAACAATCTGGCTGAGCTGTTCAAGAGGAAATAGAACGTCCTTTATTCCTGGGCAGGCTGCCTTTCTTACCTGCTTCTGGGAGTTCTTCCTCAGAGGGTGCTCCTGCGTCTGGGTTCCGTGCTGTTATGTGGCCTTTTCTAGCCTTCATGTTTTCATGTTGGAGGCCATGGAAACTTCCTGAATCCTGGGGACAGAGGATCCAGTTACCAAGGCCTGTGTCTCTGAAATCCCTCAGATAGTACCATTTCTGCCTAGACAACCTCCAAGGAATAAGTAGGTCCTCAGGAAAGACAGAATGGAGTGTGGCAAGGGCCAGCCATCCACACCCATGTTGCAAAAGGGAGCTGAAATGCCAAATACCCAAAACAGCAGATAATTTAAAAAATAAAACACTTTATGGGCTGATTTTCTTTCCTAGTTCTGTTGGTAGCTGATGTTTTAGGGAATCTATGTAACTAGAGCAGAGAGTAAAAAGGCCATTTAGAAATATGGTAAGAAGTTAGCCTGGGATTAAAAATTAGCTGTTAACAATCCCCAAACTAGCTAATATTTGGACAGGTAATTAAAATTAGTAATTAAACCCTTAACCATGGTTACTTAGCTTTAGGGCATGGGAGTAGGGAAGGGTAAATTTCATGTTTTGCTTTATTCTGTACCACTGCAATTTTTTCCATGAGTATGGATGACTTGAAACTGAAAACAAAAATAAAGATGACTTTGGGGGTATTTTGAGAGAATGTGGAAGGTTAAGGGGAAGATGAGAGAAGTGGAAATAGCAAGTTAGAGCTAAAGGTAAAACCTGACAAGAAGTCAGAGTCTAACCCACTCATTTTACAGATGAAGCAACAGCAAGGGAGAGGACAGGACTTGCCTGAGGTCATGTGACAGATTACCAGCGAAGCGGGGACATGACCCAGGTCTCCTGACCCCCAGCCTAGGATCCCAGGAAGGGTGGGGGTGGCCACAGAGGGGACACTGTGTGCCAAGTCAAGGCCAGGCTCTGTACCCTTACCCTGGAGTGGAGCTGCCTGGAACCCCCAGTCTCTCTCAGATCCCAAAGCGGGTGTGTGGCTCACCTGACAGGCCATCTGCAGCTCACTGTTCTCTGCATCGCCACCTGTAGCAAATCTGCCCCTTAGTCACTTCCTGAGGGCCACTGCCCTATGGTGGACCCTCAACTTGGTTAGTTCAGAAGTGACTCCAACCCTCTCTGATGTTCAACCCTCCTAACCAGACACTCAGAATGTTTCTCTAAGTCCTGTTACTGTGCCATCTGGCAGGCAGCTGGACCAGGGACAGGATGAGGTGGCCCTGTCCCCAAAGGCATCTCTCCACACCTCTGCTCCTCAGGGTGGAGGGCAAGATATCAGAAGATATAGGCAGAAAATGGCTCTACCAGTCCCCATTCCATCTTGTTCCTCTTACCTTGGGGAAAGGCTGAGGAGGCTTAAGGAAGTTCCCATCCCCAGAATCTGGGCTGTAAATATGGACCAGGTTGTTGGGTGTCACGTTGAGGTAGTGATTTCTGAGTGAAGGAGAAAACACTCCAATCTGGAATTGAGGAAGGGAAGGTCAGTGCCCTGATGGAGTGCTAGGTGCTGCCAGATGGCCACCTGGTCCCCACCTGCCTTTTCCTTGGTGACTGCTGTACCAGTGTCACACAAATTGCTCCTGTCCCATCCCTGGTGACAGAGTAGAACCACTTATTACATCCTCCTCACCTCATGGCACAAGCCCCATCCCCAACCAGCCCTTAAGAATGGGAGTCAGGCCTTTACTCAGCTCCAGTAAGCCAGGGTCTAGCACAGGGTCTAGCACCCCTTGCCTGGGTCCTGGGAGGGAAAGACGCCATACAGGTGACCTGGGGGCCTTCTCCAGGGTGGGAGGAAAGGTGAGCAGGTCTCCAAAGGAGCCCCCCTACCTGCTTTAGCAGCAGCACTGAACCAGGCTTCAGCTCATTCTGGCGTGTCTCGAGCAGGAACCTGTGCATGGTACCCTGCATTTCTCCTGCAAATACCACATGGCCCATCAGTCTCAGGGTCAAGGACAGTGCAAGTGACTGGTTTGGGCGCTCGCTGGGAAGCAGGCTGCTCATTGCCTCAATCTTCCCATCTGCAGATGGAGAGGATGACTCCTCCTCACCTCCTGACCTCAATGGAGGCCACTCATCAGACACTCCCAAGACCTAACTCCTCACCCGTAGGGTCCTTGAAAACCACACTGGCATCCATTGTGCTCCGAGTTAGGGACTTGATCATCACTGCCATGTTGGGGACCTTGTTCCTGGGAAGCTGCTTCAGGGCTGCCTGGTTACAAGAGAGGCATTTGCTGAGTATGCCTATAAGGTTCCCAAGTGTGCAGGGCAGACCAGGGGGTGGGAGAAGGGCAGACAAGTGTGATGATCTTCCTTTGTGGAGGGCAAAGGGGTGGTTTAAAGGGCTCATCCCATCTCCCTCTGGAAAACCTGGAGCTGGCAGGTCCTTCATTTCTCTCCCTGCCTCCTTTCTTGAGTGTGTACATATTCATACAGAGCTCTACCATGGCAGGCAAGGATATGTTAGCACATGTACTAACATGTGTCTGCACCTGACCCTTGACCTCTGGGAAGAGCTAAGGGTGCTGATCCCACCCCATCTAGGGCCTGGATATGCACAGACATGGCCCATAGCCTACTCTCTCCTTCTGCTTATGGCCAGTACTGTGGATAGTAGTGAGAAGGTGAGTGTGGAAGACAACCAAAGAGACTTCAGGGTGCTATGCAGAGACAGGTTTGCAGGGAGAGGGAGCAAACAGAGTCCCTTTCCTAAGGGGGAGTGGGACTGCAGGCTAGGGAAAGGAATAAAAATGGTCTCATCTTCATACCAGGAGCCTTACCTTCCGCAGCACCATGATGATGCTGTAGGTACAGAGGAAGCAGCTGGGGTCTCTCTCATCCAGGCCCAGAGCAGATTTCATGGCCAGCCATGGTCCTCGCCCAAAATCCTCTTCCACTGATGCCTGGGAACTCGTAACAATCTGTCACCACAGAGCAGAGAATGCCTGTGTTAATGGATCCCTGACTGAGACAGCTGGAGGGGCAGGAGATGAAGATAACTCCTGTAGCACAGAGGCCGCAGTTTCTCTCTCATCTTCCAGGTTAGAAAGTGGTATGTGAAATCTCATTGCATATCGTATCTTTCACTCAGCAGCAACAGCAAAGGTGCTCTTTATTTTAAATCAGGTCCTGACTTAAATTACATTGAAGCAAAAGGCTATCCAGAGTAGAACCACTTACAAAAGACTTGCCTCTTGTAAAAGACTTGAAAAGTCTTAGAGCTAGGAGCCCCACATACACTTGCACAGTCCCAGAGTGCCTTAGTCATTTCAAAACAAGTTGTATTTTAATTGGGATGCCTGTGGCTCTATTAACCTCCTTATATTAAAAAATGCTTTGAATCCAGATGAGTATTTATTTACGCTTGGATCTGAAATGGTGGCTCTCTGGAATTGCAGCCAAGAGAAAAACGGCTAGAGAAAATTGAAAGCAAAAGTGGGTCTAAGGCAAGTAGTGACTCACTGATGGACAGTGACTGCAATGGGGTGTGGGAGGTACTCGATGATATGGGTGAATGTAGTAACCACATTGTTTTTCACCTGAAACCTTCAGAAGAGTGTATATCAATGATATCTTAATTTAAAAAAAAAGTGGGTCTGAGGGGAGGGCAGGTCAGCCAGAATCCCAGCGAGGCTGGAGGATGGTTCTCATCCACCAAAAGGGAACCCACTGGAGGCAAGGAGAAGACCGATCCCTGCCAGCTCAATTCCCAGAAATTTAAGGAAGCGTTCTTGAGATACAATTTCCTAATACTTATTATAGTCTCCACCCCTGAGGAAGGATTAGCTGGGCTTTTCTTAGATGGGAAAAAAGGCTGGACCCATGGCATTGGTTATAGACCAGTAGATGCCAGGATAGGCTTTGTTTTATGCCAGTAAGATTGCCATATCCCCAAACTGCCTTCCCCAAATGCCCTTAGGTGTGCAATCCCAGGGAGTGGCCTAGAGGCATCAACTTTCTCACCTCCTGAAACTTGCAGGGATATCCCTCACTCTTAAATGATGCCCAGGAAGTTAACATTTGCCTGGAATTGGTTACCTCTGTCCGGAATTTAGCTAGCGCCCCATGAGTCGGAGTCTGGGGTGTGGAAACCATGATCTCCTCCAGATTCTTCCCACTGTGCTGCAACAGGAGAGAGGAGGAGGCAAGAGCAAGCTCAGCAGTTGTTATTTACAAGTACAGCTTCTTGTCTGGGTTACATAATGAGCTCAGGAAACTATCAGGGACAATTAACACATATTACATCTCTCCTAACGAAGTCTCAGGAGCCTCGCTGGCAGCTCAAAAAAGACACTTTGGGGATTGTTTTGGGAATGTGAGGAAGCTGGAGCTTGCCTGGGAGCAAAACCTAGGGCCTCCTGAAGAGGGCAATGACCCCAATAGAGGGGCCTGTGATATGCAAAGGGGCAGCTTTCCCGCAGCCCCTTCTCAGGGACCCAACCATTCCCTACAGAGATTCAGTCCAGGAGGAATACAGATGTCCTCTTTGAATTCTCTTAAAGTGCTAGGGAAGAGCAAGTAACATGTAGAAAATGTTTCAAACGCCCTTAAAATGCAAGCAAAGTGGCGCACCTATCACTACCAGACCATATCCTCAGCGTCCAGTTATCTGGGATCTGACCCAAGACTGGGTTGATGGGTCCTGTCCCTCTACCACTGCCGTAAGCCACACTCAGCCCAGCCCCAGCTTCCACATGTTGACCCCACACCCCAGCCACAACACTGTTCCGCAGATCTGCGAGAGCATCCTGTTCTTAAATCTTTGTGCCGTCTTCCCACTGCTGTTATGTCCTCCAACACACACACCTGTTAACCTCCTACACCCAGGGTCTCCCCGGCACCCAGGGGATGACCTCTACAGAATTACATTGTGCCTTTATGTGTCAGTTTGTTCCCATTTGCTTCTTTTACACTACAAGCTCCTTAGAACAGAAACTATTTCCATTTTACTCTCTATATTCTCAGTTCTGAGTAAATTGCTCAACGCATACAAGTCCTTAGTAAATATAATTGAATGACTGTCCCTGCCCCAGTGCTAGTAAACAGTAGGTGCTCAACAAAAGCATGAAAATTGTGAAGTGCTCAGCACCTTAAGCACCTCCCACTTCTTCTGACTTCTTCCACACCTTGAAAGCTCCCCCACCCCCCTGCAATTCCACCTTTTCTTCACTCCCCCTTGGGAGTGAAGATACGCCGGGGCTGGATGTTGCTGGAACTCAGCTTCTCTCCCTCACTCCATGATGTCCTGGATGGCTCTGGCTTCTGCCAGAGAAGCTGTCATCACGCACCTGGTGAGGCAGGATCCCGGCTGGGCCAGGGAAGCGGCGTGTTTTGATACGGGTGGGGGGGTGGGGGGGCTGCTGGGGTGTCCGGTTGGCAGCAGTGACCAGCTGCACCAGGTGGTTGGTGACTATGGGCGTCTGCAGTGCTGTTTGGGAAACCAGAGAGGAAAGGGGGCTCTTTGGAGCGCTGACAGGATACTCGACAGAAGACAATGGAGCTCGGGGTCGTACGGGCTCCCGAGGAAATAATCCAGAGATAGTCCTTGAGGGAGTAGAACAGCTTGAGCTGGGAGTTCGTGGTCCACAGAAATGAGGTTTGCCACTTAAGCAGGCATTTGGAGACTGGAATGACTGACTGGACCAACGATTTTGAGGGCTGCTCTGAACAGGCCTGTCAGCAGCTTGGAGAGGCTGGGGGCCTCGAAGAGGAGGACCTTTGGGACAGACTTCCCAGTGGGGCTGCTCAGCGGGAACTGTCGAGGCAGCTGAGCTAGGAAGACTCCCCATGGCACCAGGCCTCAAGTGGGGCTGTGGGGTCCCACAGTGGACAACAGGCCCTGAAGGATCACCCTGGGCTGAAATGATACCAGTTATGTGGGTGGCGGGCATGGGCCCCTTTTGGCAAGATCGGCTCAGAGCAGCTACTCGGGCCTTTTTAGCCAATACTAAGTCCTCCTGCTGCCAGGTAGGCAGGACTGCTGTGCCCTCACTGCTGACTCCAAGTGCCACCTCCACGCCAGGCCCCTCCAGGTCCATGCTTGCCAACACCTTATCGAATTCATCTTGTTCAGACCCCTCAAAGCCACCAATCACCTGCTGTTCGCTCTCAAAGGTAAGCAGGGGGTAAGAGGCTGAGGACTGGGGTCTTGCTGGTTCTTTGAGCACTTCTGTTAGTGTCATGCTTTTCTGGTCACCAGTCCAGCTGCTGGAAGTAGAGACAGGCCTCAGGGGAAGTATTCCTGTGGAAGGTGGAGCCCTGGCAGCCCTGGGCATGCTGGAGGTAGTAAGGAGGAGCCCCGGGGCTGGCAGGCCCGAGGCCTCTGAAGAAGCAGTGGGGCATGACGGCAGCTGCGTGGAAGACTGGACCTGCACAGCTTCCTGCAGCCTGGAAGAGCCAGGTCTCAGGCACCCACCAGTCACAAGGCTTGGCCCAGCAAACTGGTTCTCTGCATCCTCCACAGCAGACAAGAAATCCTACAAAGAAGAGACAGTGGGTCTTGGCACCTGGAGATCGAGAAACACTCTGCTTTCACAGTTTCAGGCATGTGGTGTGTATGTATGTGCAGAGACATGTAAGCAGGGAGCCAAGGCATGAAAGGCCGTGGTGGAGTCTTTTACTACCTTTGACCTTGCTCATGAGCTCACCACCAGGTTTCTGTGAGAAATACTCTAAGGCTAAGTCTTTAGGTAGCTTCTTTCTCTTTCTCCAGTCTCAGGCAGGAAAGGTACCCACAGCACCAGGTCCCAAGTGGGGTTTGGGGGAATGGCCGCAGCTGGGGAGTAGCTAGAGGAAGCAAATGTACCAGCGCACCAGAGTCAAACCAATCACTCACGGTCACCCACCCATCTCAGGAAAACTAGCTTTCTGGTGTCCAGCCCATGCAAGGGATCTGTCTGGTTGGTTGTACTGCCTGTTCTCAACCCATTCCTGACCCCACCTCTCTCTCTCTCTGTGTCTTTGTCTGCGCGCGCACGCGCGCACACACACACACCTTAGATTCAGCAAAATAGGCAGAAGTTAAATATAGCTTTTTAGGCAAGTTAAATTAAGTATGGATTCCAGTTGGAAAGCAAGGTGAGATTGACACCTTCAAGAGCAACAGACCTGTTCTGAAGGTGTTTTTCTTGAGTCAGAACTGCTGCTTTAACTGACAGGAAGGTCTCCTCCACCCCACCCCTGCTGCTGCATTGGACTGACTGAGCCGGAGGAAGGGTTTTTCCTGCTTGTATATTACCAGGGGAGTAGCACACTCTGGCAGGACTGCCTTAGGATTCAGCAATAATAATAATAATAATAATAATAATAATAATAATATCAGAATTACAGCAACAATAGAATCCTGCTGACCTGGAGGTTGATAGATCCCTTTTCCCCTGAACAGCTCACTCTCAGATATGATGTCACCTGCCTTGGGAAGGGGAAAAGGTCAGGTCATGGAGCAGAAACTTGAGTTGTCAGTCCTTCTCTCTTAATTCCATTGCTTGGCCTAGCAGCCCTACCATCACCTGGTAAGACCCAAGAGGGTCACTTTCACAGTCATTTTTTCAGCCTGTAATTCCACATCTCCAAAGCTGAAAGATAAAGACAAGGACACATGTCCTTGACAAAGCTGGCAGTTTTGAATTGTCTGTGAAAACAAAACTCAAGTCCCCAAGTGATAACAAAAACATCTAACATTTGAAACCTCACTGGGTGGGACCAACAAACATTTTACCAGAATTCTCACAATGGTCCTTGGAATAGGTACTATTATTTTTTCTTTACTGAAGTATTGTTGATATAATCTTGTATTGGTTTCAAAAATACAACACAAAGGCTCAACAGTTACTCATATTATTAGATCCTTACCCCTTCTAGTACAGTAACTGTCAACACAGAAAGATGTAACAGAATCACTGACTATATTCTCCAGGCTGCATTACTATCCCTGTGACCGACTTATACTATGATTGAGAATTTTTGTGCCCCTTTATCCCCCTCACCTTCCCCACCCACCCACCCAACCCAGCCCCTCCCCCATGGTAAACACTAGTCACTTGTTAGTGTCTATGAGTCTACTGCTGTTTTGTTCCTTCTGTTTTGCTTTGTTTTTGTATTCCAAAAATAAGTGAAAATCATACAGATTTGTCTTTCTCTGCCTGGATTATTTCATTGATCATAATACCTTCTAGATCCATCCATGTTGTTGCAAATGGAAGGATTTCCTTTTTTATGGCTGAATAACATTTCATTGTGTATACGTACCACATCTTCTTTATCCATTCATCTACTGATGGGACACTTAGGTTGCTTCCATAACTTGGCTATTGTAAATAATGTGGTGATAAACATAGGGGTTCCTATATCTTTTCGAATCAGGGGTTTTGTTTTCTTCAGGTAAATTCCTAGAAGTAGAATTAGTGGGTCAAATGGTATTTCTATTTTTAGTTTCTTGAGGAACCTCCATACTGCTTCCCACAGCGGTTGTACCAATTTACATTCCCACCAATAGTGTAGGAGGGTTCAAATAAGTACTATTATTATTCCTGCTTTATGGATGCAGAAACTGCGACTCAGAGAGGTTAAGTAGCTTCACAAAACCAGGACTAGAATCCTTACATGCCCTTGTCACTATGCCGTAGGGCCTCAATGAATGAGACAAGCCAGAGACTGAGTTTTAAGAGGCCTGAGGAAGGTCTGTTTTTCCCTTCAAACCTCAGGTTCCAAAGCCTTAAAGGAAAGGGAATGTGGGGCTGGGTGGCCAGAAAGGATCCCTGGTATAGCACTCATCACCACAGTAGCCACAAATCAGTCATCTTGACAAATTCTAAATATGACTTTTAAAGCAAAGTGCTGGGAGGCAAAAAGTAGGTTTGAATGGCTTATCAACAATAAAATAGAGCAATTTTATTCTATAAATGTATTTTAGTAGTTGCCATATATATTAGACTGGAGTCAGGGGACCAAGACTCATCCTGGCCATTGATACCCTATTTTTATGCAGGTTACTTTACTTTTTTGGGCTTTATTCACTTAAATCCTGCCTCTTTCTGAAAAGGATTTCAGGTAGCATTTTGGGCTTCCCAGACAAAATTATACCCACTGGAACTGAGCGGGAAGAGAGCTGTGCAGATCATTAGTTCAGTGGTTTCTGGCTTTACCCAGAGATTAGAAATACCACTGCCTGGCCCCATCCCCAGAAATTCTGATTTAATTGTTGTATGGCAGGACCTCCACAGGGATGATTCAAATGCCCCAGCTTCAGGTCTAGTCTAATCCCTCATCTTCTGAGCAAAGGGAGGGAAGGAAGAGCATTTGAGGCAGAAGGCAGCTCCTCATATTGTAGAAGAGAAAATGGAAGGCCAGAGAATGAAGCAACTTGCCCTGGCTCACATAGCCAGTTGATGAGCCCAGACCTCCTGCCATCTAGTAACTGCTGTCTCTGGCTCTTCCTACCTCCAGGATGTCATTATGAAGGTGAATCAAATCATCTGCGTGACAGTTGCCAGGCGAGGACCCTTACATTTTAAAGGTATGGCAATTAGGCAGCTCATCTTGCTGGTTTTTTGTTTCTAAGACAGTTAAGTAGGTTGTTTACATTTCTCATCATTTTCAGCCTCTCACAGATGAAAAAGATACACATGTCAAGTAAAAGGAGATGGGGACAGACTGCTCCAAAATGTTCTGGACCTATGTGTTTATATCTTAAGACCTCCTCTGCAGTCTCTGATCACCAACACTTCCTTACCTCATCTTCAAACTCCTCTTCCACAGCGAACAGCTTCTGCAAACTGCATGCCTGAAAGGAAAACAAAGCAATTGAGGTTAGAAGAGAAATAATTGTTTGCAAGTACATTCTGTCCTCCTCACCATGCTTCTTTCCAATTCTAACAAGACCATCAGGTGTACTGTTTGTTTTTGGTTTTTTTGGGCTAGTGTTGGGGGAGGAATAAGGGATGAGGAGAAAAGAGATGGGATTTACTTAAAGAATTAGATGACTTGGAGTCCTTTCTTATAAAATAATCCACTCAGATCCCTCTGCATTAATCTTGGAAGTGGGGAGGAGGCAAAGGGAAGGCTGCCAAAGGGAGTGTGGGTCACTCTTCAGACTCAGAAAACTGTGCACGTGGGTCTAAGGGTTTTGTAACAGCCCAAAGGTTTGGCCTGAGGAACCTTTGTCAAACATGAGACACTAGCATAAATCCAAGCATGCCCAGCACAGTGGCCTCGTTTCTGAAAGCTAAGCCAATGGTTTCCCTCTATCTAGTCCAATACCCAAAAGCTAGGGTCCCAAGCCTGGTGGTATGCCCAGTCCAGTTCTTTCCTTCTAGGCAGAGGGCTGCTGTGGTCAGCTTTTAGATGTGTGTCAAACACAGAGCCAAGGGCTGTGCCTAATCCCAGGGGCCAGAGCACCTCATAAAAACCTACAGTTGGGGTTACCTACCCGCCGGTCCTAGGATCAGAGTGGACGGGTTAGGGAGTGGGGGTCAGGCTCAGGAGGCATGACGGGGAAGCATTTAGGGGAAGGATGAAGTCCTAGAAGAGACGGAAGGCAACAGGAGGGAAACTGAGGCCCACAGGGAGGTGGGTGGAGAGGGCTTTCCCAAAGGTTTCCGGAAACGTCCGTGCCACGCCCAGACTAGAACCCAGATCTCCCGACGCCATCAAGCTTTCACCTAAATTCTCATCTGGCCCTGAAGCTCGTTCGGGTGAGGGCCTGGAACCCGGAAGGCAATTTCCGCGACCCCGGGGGACTACACAACTCAGCGGCCCTCGGCGCGGCATTACCATGGCGACGACGGGTGGGTTTCGGCCGCTGGGTTAGCCGGGCAGGCTGCGTCTGGAGGCGTCGCCAGGTACTCGGACTTGGCCAGGGAGGGAGGGTCGGAGTCTGGGAGACGATGTTTCTGGACGAAGTCGGGGAGAGAGGCACCTCTGCGACCTGGGAGGGGGCCGAGGGAGGGCCGCCGGGGAGCTGGGGGCCAGCACTCTAGGCCTCATTCGAAGCCGCCGCCACTCTAGCGTCTCCTCCCTCTTAAAGGGGTAGACCTATTTCTATCCGCCGAAAGAAAAGACAGTGATCCGCCAGCTTTCAGCCCGGGCCTTAAACGGAAATTGTTTGGCTCTCAGTCGCCCCCTAGCGGCCGCTCTGGCCCAGTCCGCTGGTTCAACTCGCGTTCAGGCGAGAGCAAGGTTGGCAATCTTGGGCTCCTTATGCCCAATCCTGCCCACCCTCCTCTCCTGTGTTAAGCGCACTAGGGACTGAGTACTAGAGCATGATGCTGCCCCATTGGTTCATCTGTCTGTTCATTTAGCCATCCATCAATTCAACCATCTATTCTCGCAACATATTTATTAAGCAAACATATTCTTAGTCTAGCTCATTTTACCCTTCATGTTTCAGTTGAGATCTCAGATCTTACTGTTACCTTCTCTCTCAAGTAACACCCTTTCCCATAACAATACTATCTACTTCTCAGCACTTTTCATAATTTATAATTGTCATGGTTTACATTTTTATTACATGTCTTCTTTATTAGAATATGAGCTCCATGAGGGCAGGGACCTTGCTTGTTCAACTTTGATTCCCCACCAGTATTCACAATGCTCAATAGAGTTATTGAATGAATGACACAGTGACTACTATGTATCAGGCACAGTGCTTTGACAATGGAGATAGAGAAATGAATAAGACTCCATGTGCCTTCAAGTTCACAGGACAGGGAGACACGGGTCAAAAGACAGAGTCCAGGAGAGTTGTGCAAAGGGATGGGCAGGAGCTCAGTGAGCTGGAAAGGCCAGCTCTTGTCATGAAAGCCTGCTGTGGTTAATGACCCTCAGTCCTACTTCAGTGTCTCTTCTTGCTTGTCACTACAGGAGTGACAACTAGGGCTGCATAGTTTTGAGGACTCAGAAGGCAGAAGGAAAGTAGCTGATTCAAGTTATGAATGATCTGATTGGAGCCAACCCAGGATCTCCCCAGGGGGCCTGGCCTGGCCTCACCTCTGGGCAGCCTATGGCTTCCATCATAGCTTCATGTGAACCATGTTACCTGTCATATGTCAGAATGGCCGTGGGAGGTGGAACCTGGACCCCTAACTCTTATCAATCAGGTTAGGAATTCCCTCAAGGCCTCTGTGCTTCTGAGCTGGGGAACAAAGCCCCATTTACAGGTCTCCTGATCTCGCAGGAATCCCAAACAAAGCTCATCTTGCCCAGCTGTGGCTAGTCCTAGAGACCCAGTTATAGGACTTCCCATGGGTTCGGGCTCTGTCAGCTCCAGCTGGGAGATCAGACTGCCCAAGCAGAATAATATGCACAATGAAGTTTACAGCTTCCAAGTTTAACCTTAGTTCATTTTGTCTTCACAAAGAATCCCATGAAGGGTAAGCAGCAGGTGTTACTTTACAGACTAGGAAACTGAAGCTCAGAAGGGGAAGGGACTCTTCAGCATCACAAAGTGTCTCAGTGGAGGATCTTCCAACGGGAAATCCTGTGTTTTCTCCTCCATCACTTTTCTAAGTTAAATGAATTTGGCATCTGTTGCCTCCACCTCCTGTTAGAACCTGGGCGGAGTTGGGGTCAGTAGCTGGAGCAAATGGAAAATGTGGACCGAGGACATTTCAGAGAGGGGTAGGTAGGACAGATGAGAAGGTTGTCTGTGATTTTAGACTTGGAAAGGACCCTCATGCTGAAGGGTTCCCCCTCTACAAATCAAATGTCTTCTCCTTCCTAATGCTGTCACCTGCATGTAAAAGCAAGGACTGGGGTTCTGTGTGATGGAGCCTAGGTTGTCTTCTTCCTCCCTTTAGAAAAGGTGTTAGTGGGCTTAACTTTAGTAACCAGGATTGAAGATAACTGGAGACTCAAACCAACAGGAAGGGGTGGGTTCAGGGAAGGAAAAGGTGGGTGCTGGGACTTCAGCAGGAGGACTCACACCAGAAAACAAGGGGGAGTGAGTGTAGTGAGGGAGTCTCAATAGCATTCTGCTTTAATATTCTGATAGTAACAGCCAGTTCTTCCTGAGAACTTTGTGTTTCAGGCAAGGTTCTGGGCACTTTACAAGTACAGACTCACTTGATCATTGTAATAAACCTGGTCATAGGTGCTAGGATCACTTCCGCTTGGAGAAGTGACTTGGAGGAAAGGGTCAAGGTCTTGCCCAAACTCATATAACACATGGTGGAGCTGAGATGGTGAACCGCGCATTCTGACTCCAGCATCCATAGGTTTAACCACTACATTGTTTTGCCTCTTAGAATTCCAAGGAACTGGATTCTTAACCTGGGGCTTCTGGGAATATAAATTTCCTGTAATTATGTGCAAAACATATGCCTAAGCATGTATGCCTTGTCCTAAGAGAAAATCTGTGGCTTTTATCACATTTTCAGGTGTCAGGAGCCTGTTGCCTTGCATGTTCTCAGGAGCAGGATATACCCTACCCCACCTCCAACCCCACCAACCCCTCATCTTGTCCAGATGCCTTACACTTTACATCAGGCCTTACCATCTCCTGCATGGACTATTGCATAGCCTCCTGCATAGTCTCCCTAGTTCAAGCTCTCCTCCCTTCTGTCCATTGTTTTGAACATGCAAATGGGATATTATTTTCTACCACAAAAAATGTTAATCCCCCCAATTACCAGAGGATGACATATATAATCCCCAGATTTTACAGTGCCCTGTCATCTGCCTCCGTGCCCTATTTTATTTTTCAAGCAACCTCCCAATCAGTACCAATCCCTCCCCATCCCACTCATTTTTCATACTGCAGCTCAAATGCTGACACTAAGAAGCCCTCCTTAACTGCCCCAGGCAGACCCAGGTATCCTCCTCATTGGCTCCCTGCATTCTGGGCTTATCTCCATTATAACTTGGGTCTCTTATATGCCTTGTATTGTGTTCAGGTTTCCCTGATACCTCCCTGTTGGACTTTGAATTCCTTCAGAGGAATGACTGTGGCTTTTCACCTCTGTGAATCAGCATTTGGCTCAGCACCTGGCACATGGAAGACACTCAGCCAACGTTTGTTGAGTGACTTAATACCACTGTCAGGAAGAAGTGTAAAAGCCTGGGCAGCTCCATGCTTACATCCAAAAATAGTTGCAGATACTGAATGAGGAGCCTCACCTTCTTAGGTACAAAGGAAGGCACACCTGGAGAGAGAGAGAGAGAGAGAGAGAGAGAGTGAGAGAGTGAGAGAGTGTTTGTATTTGGAGACAGCATGCTGCATTGTCTATGCAGTTAGACAATGGTTCATATTTGACTCTGTTGCTAACTGGCTGTGTGATCCTACCTCTCTGAACCTTAGTTGTCTCATCTATGAAAATGGAGTAATACATCTTCCTCATAAAATTTCTGTGAGATTAAGTGAATTAATGCATTGAAATGGCTTAACTTCATGCCTGGTGTGTTGGCAGGGGCTCAACAACGTGGGTTCCCTTCCCCTCTACTTGAGTTTGCAAACATGTGCTGAGATTTGTTATGGGAACCACATGGCTTGGGTTTGTATCGATTTCAGCATTTTTGTAAATGCATTTTGCCCTAATTTTTATTGTATGAACAATTGTATATGAATCAGTATAATGATGTGTTTATGTGTCTATATTTACATTTGCCTTGGTATGGACAATGGCATACACTGAAAGTGTGTACACGCGCTGAGAGTCTATGTGGCTGTGTTGGTGGGTGGGTGTTGCATGCGGAGTAGGTGGAATGTGTGTGGAATTAAATGTGTGTTGTATGCTGCATAAAGTGCAGGCACTGAGGGTATGGGGGTGGGAGAGAGCTGATCCGTTTCATGTGGCTTTATGTGTGTAAAGGCTGTGTGGATCAGGGCTCTTGGATAGATCTTTCTGTGTTGATGGAAATATTTTCTTCTGCTCTGCCCAATAGAGTAGCCACTAGCCACATGTGGCTTTCAAGCACTTGAAATGTGGCTAGTGAAACTGAGGAACTAGGGTTTTAATTGTATGTAATTTAATTAACTTAAATGTGAATTAGTCCACTGTAGACTATAGACAGAAACCTCTCACCTGGTCTCTACAGACTGACTGGTGTGCATCCCCCTCCCTCTTACCACGGAAACCCATTGTGGGTAAAATTGTAATATTTCCAGAATATCTCCCCTGGCTTTAGTACATTTGCATATCCTCAGGGGTGGAGAGAAGTTCATCTCCATTTCAATGGGTAATTACCTGGGCAAAGGCTTATCTGAACCTGAGAGGTTAAGGGGAGAGGCTGGCTTCCTGGCTTCTGCCTGAGCAGGAGAGAGAGACGGCCCTGGACTGCAGTTTGAAAGCAATAAATGGATTTTTTTTTTGTATCATTTATCTACATTTACATGAAGAACATTATGTTTACTAGGCTCCCCCCTTCACCAACTCCCCCCCACATACCCCTTCACAGTCACTGTCCATCAGCGTAGTAAGATGCTGTAAAATCACTACTTGTCTTCTCTGTGTTGTAGAGCCCACCCCGTACCCCCTCCACATTATACATACTAATTGTAATGCCCTCTTTCTTTTTCCTGCCCTTATCCCTCCCTTCTCACCCATCCTCCCAGTCCCTTTCCCTTTGGTAACTGTTAGTCCATTTATGGGTTCTGTGATTCTGCTGCTGTTTTACAATAAACGGATTTTAAACTTTATTTCTCCCTTTGACTGATTTTGGTTTTTAGAGATATTTTGCCCCTGGATTTCCTTTCCCCAGACTTACATCTGGCATAGTCAGCAGGATTCCTCTGAACCTGAAATCTGTCATAATGAGTGTGACCTTTGGGAGGGCTGACCCTAGAAATGGTGAGGAAATGCCCGGAAGCCCCCCTGTGAATGACAAGGAGGCTCCAGTGGATGCAGTGGCAGAGGGTGCAGCTTCACCTGTTATTATCCCCCCAGCTGTGGGGCTTCCAATTTGGGAAGCCATAGTGGCGAATTGGTCTAGGGTAAATTACCTCCTAGAAGGGTGGGGCCTTCCCCAGAACTGGGGAAGGGTGGAAACACCAGAG